TAATCCTGCGGAGACAGCGATGATCGAACACGCAGAGTCGCCAAACATCCTCAGCCTACTCGGAGAGCCAGGTTTCACAGGCGTAGAGGAAGGCAGCCCGCACCGAAGCATTGTATACCCGACCTTTGACAGCCAGGTTAACGTCGAGACGGCGCCAGAGGTGGTGGCTCAAGTTGATGTGTGCCACCCTAGCCTTGATTATACGGTTGGAAATCTCATTCGTCATGCCTCTGCCAGCACTCACACAACTACCCAGATACACAAACTTATCAACAACTTCAAGCGGTTCACTTGCAAGAGTGAGTGCAGGTACAGGCTCCTTCCAATCCTGTAACAGTACTTTGCACTTAGACGGCGCAAAGGGCCTTCCACACTTACAGACACTGATTAAGTGCGATTTGGGCAGCCTGCATGCTATCGCACAGTAAGACGATATCGTCTGCATACTAGAGGTCGAAAAGTCTATCTCCAGGTAGCAGATCTACACCACCTTCACGCACACCCTTCAGAGCTGACTCCAGAATGTCATCGATGGCAAAGTTAAAGAGAAATAGAGAGTTTGGGCAACCCTGTCTAACCCCACTGTTTGGTGTTGGGAACAGTGATGATAGTTGGTTGTATGCCCTCACTATACCCGAGTTGTTTCTGTATAGGGCTTTCAAGATGTTAACAAATTTCTCAGGTACACTTCTCTCTAACAGACAGTTCCAGAGCACAGTTCTGTCCAACGAATCCAAGGCAGCCCTAATATCAAGAAACACAACGATCGTTGGCCTGCAATACGTGTGGCGGTGTTCCAACAACGGACGAAGGGTGAACACATGATCAATGCATCCACGACCTGAACGAAACCCAGCCTGCTCTTCGCTGCAGGGATAGGGTTGCTAGCCACCCCATGCCCAACCTTCCCACTTTACCAGTCCTATTGTTGGCTTAGCGAGGTGGTGCGGGAGTGCGTCGGTGGCCGGAGATCGAAACCCGAACCCCATGAGGTGTGGTTGGCGAGCATTCTACCACTGTGCCACCGATGCACGGTCATTTCTATTGTCGGCTTGCATGGGATACACCTCCATGGGAGGTGTTTTGTTTTAGCAACTCAGCGTTTAATTTTTTTTCAGTCTGGTTACTGTTCCGCTTACCACAATTTAAAAAGTTGCTAAGTATCTATAACTAGTAACAGCTGTTCTATTGTATGACTTTCCATCATTTCCTGTCTGTCTGTTTTCGAAATAAAAGTTTGCATCGGTGTGCAGTAGTTCAAGTCACCACTCTCCCTTCATGTAGCACGCAAACCAAGAGAACAAAGTAGAAGAAATGCACAATAGAGACAGTAGACAGGGATATGAGACAAATGGAGTAGTAATATCGAAGAGCAATATAGTGTCATTCGGTATTATAAATCACAAGGAGTGGATGTATCTGCACCAGCCATTGAGGACGATTTTGAGCCATATCAGCACCGATTGTCTCCAGGCGTCATTGGTGTTTACCATCCCGAGGACCCCAACTAGTCAGGAAGTCTACACCTTCCTACGTGGTTGGCTGGCTGACTAAACTAACTGTTGTGGATTTCATTGACTAGTGAAGCCATGTTTTGGTTTGACCACAACCATCAAGCTCTTTTCCAGCCTGACCCTATGTCAGCTAAGATTGCTCGTTGTGGAGTAAACGATAGCTAGGCATGCATACGTAACATATGTCCTCACCATCTCAATCGATGTAATTTCACAGCCTCGTCGATTGATTCGGCACCACTCCTTACCTAGCAGTCGACGACCTTACCTCAATATTCCTCACCCTATTATACTACTTCACATTTTCCAGTAAAATGCATTTAGGTGTCCAAGGTTACAGCACTGGCTAATGAGATATTTCTGTCTTATATGTATAATATTATTAGAATTTTCGTTTTGTAAAGGTATTCAACATATTTAAGTGCAACATTAGTTAATAGTTCCATACTGGTTTGTTTATTAGATATATCACACAGTGAGTGAAACGGTATTATCATATACTGCTTCACGTTTCGAACACAATCTGTGGTTGTTCATATTCATATCAATTATAACCATACAAGTTCGAAACTTGGTTTTTATAGTTTTCTTTGTTCTCTCCTATTTTTCGTCGCTGGGGTAGTAGAATTTTCCAGATATCAGGAACACGTGATGAATCATTCCTATTACATGTATTTGCAGTTGATTCGATAAACAAAACTTCCGTTATCAATCACTCCCTCCACCCGGCTCTTGCATTATATTTTAGAACTGTCATCTTATCCCATCTATACTATTGTATGTTTGTGTATAATTGCATGTAGTGAGAGTGGTATAGCTGAACTATTCTCTAGATTTCTTATCTACGTGTCGGGTCAACCCATCAAGATTTTGCTATTTTTTATGTTCGGCTAGTCTGACTGATTGAGCCCTGTTCTACTACTTTGACCTATGTATTTGACCTGACAATCATTGCAAGTAGGGTACTAGATAAACTAAATTGTTTTGTTCTAAAAGCTCCACAGGATTGATCCTTTAACCGACAAAGCTTGTGTCTAATTGAGTTCGTGGGTTCGAATGCCGGCCACCTTTATTCCTGCTTGCCTTGTTAAGAATTGTGCGTAAGGTGGTTTCCGAGGTCCCTTCCTTGTATGGAATTAATACTGATGATTTAGATTCCTTATTGTTGGTGTTGTCGTCATTCTGTGCATGTTTGACATGCATGTCGTCAATAATTTTATTATTATTATTATTATCACGAGCATTATTATTAGTCTTATTTTTATATTTCCCTGCTTACTTCCTGTGATACTTCCTGCATGATATATCTAACAAACAAATTCATATGGAATTACATACTATACCACAGTGCCTAAGTTTTTACACACATATTAATCCTTTTATAGTCTTGTCACACAACGAATTCCGTAAATATAATCCTGTACTTCTATTGTCATGATCACTGTCTGCAAGCCGAAATTGTAAACAACAATTGACGTCAATGTTTACATCCTGAATTGGGGGCATGAGAAAAAACAAGAACAAAGCCTAACCTTCTTGAGGAACTCAACAACCAATCACAGCAGACTTATCGTATACAAATACGATTTGCAGGTATATAGCTGACTTTGTGTGAACAACGGTCACAAACAGCAGTACAGAATAACCTTCAGCAAGAAGAAACCAATCGGAAGATGCTGCGTTCTCTGCTAATAGTAACAAATAGTAATGTGCATAAAAATCTATAGATATCTTCTTCAGAGATTTCAGAGGCGTTTACCAAGGATTTCTGCTTCAATGACACCTTTGAATTCTAGATTAAGATCTACTTCGGGACGGATTAAACTTGTTCCAAAGTCTTCTTTGATTCGGGATTCTTGTCTATGAACCTAGGCGGAAAACCATTTTCCATCAGGGTTCCTTGGAAATTTAAAACAAGCAATAAAGGTTAATAAAGCAGGACTTAATGAATTCATCAGATTTCGGTAGAGCTCTTTCTCAGCTGAATACACACGGATATATATACTTTTGAAATTACATTGGGAGATACAGGACTGATAAGCAAATAAACTGCATTGAATTTGTCATGCAGAAAGACACGTGAGAATGTTTTCACGTCATATGCAAATAGATAAGGGGAGAGAGAGTATGAGAGATCAAAATTAAGATAAATTGCATTACGCTTCACTTACATCACTTAGATAAACAATTAGTCATTAGAGAATATAACAAGAATTGCAAACAGACTAATATCAACAGTAATAGTCATGATAATAATAACAATAATAATAGTGCTGAAGTGAGTTAAGATAATCCTACTGATAAAGGATAGTTTCAAATGAATCAAGAATGATAAGAGGTAGAATAATAAGTAAAACGTATTACCATGATAGATTCATAGTGACAACCATCTCCTTTTGTACACAGAGATCTGGTTTATAAACTCGAAATGCACAAGCCTCTGCAATTGCAAACATCTTGCTGTTTCGTTGTCTGCTGAAAATAGTGAATGACTTGACCGCGTTGAGATCGTGTCTATAGTCCACAAGATGTTTTGTTATTGAGGATTTTGGCACTTTACACTCAGCTGTTTTCAACCATTTTGGCAAATGCTCCATCATGCGAGTAGACAATCGCCCTTCTGTACAACCTATGTATTTGCTGCCACAAACACACCCAAATTGATATCGCAGTTTGAAGTGTCGAGGATTGGCGACTGGTCTTTCCCAGATTGTTGAAGCACTCGATTGGTGGTGTTAAGGATAACAAGTTTTGCAGCATAATAATTTCTCTTGATGCCTTTGTCTAGTCTTCGTTTGACTACTTCCTGTACGTCATCTCCTTTGAATGGCAAACTGATATAGACATGTTTCTTCGGAACCGTTTGAATTGTTTTGCAGGGGCTAATTTCTTTAGAGTATTTATTAATGAACTTCTCAGGATATCCATTCTTAGAGAAGATATCTTGCAGAGGTTTTATTTCACGCTCAATAGTACTGTCAGAACAAAGTTTTGGTTCTCTATTGAACAGTTTTCTGACTCAGTTCTTTATATGCTGGATTGTTACAAATCTCTTGAAATCCATGTACTGTTCTGTCCATGAAGACTTCATAAATATAGATCTTTCGAAAGATCTAGCCAGAACAACGCGCATTTCGTCCTATTTGGGACTCGTCATAGTCGGATGTACTGCATTTTCCAGTGAGTCAGTGATGATGTTCCCACCGAACAGTTCGGTCCAATCAATCGACAGGAAAGTCTAAACTTCAATTAAATATATCCACTTTTCAGTTTTATTTTTCATCCTTATTGTCTACGAAGTTATGTTCATACTTTAATTTCGTTAATTTTTGTTTCCTCTATAAATTCGGATTTTGTGATTACAATCAGCATGTGATTAGATTGTTTTGCATACTCCTACGTTTCAATTTTTCGCTATTTTTTCTCTCCCTGTCTCTCTCTCTCTCTGTCTGCTTTTCTTCGTTTATCGAAAACAATAAAATGAAGATCATAGCAACTGGAATGATACTTCATCCAAATCGATTATCGAATGGAAGTAATAATAATAATAACAATAATAATCACAGTAACAATGGTGCTTATGATGACCATAATGATAAACATTCCTTGTCTGCTGACTGTAAAACGAATCAATCTATCTCGAATGGATTTTCTACCAATCATCATAATAAGAACAATAATACCGATAATAACACAACTAGTCGAAAGGATAAACAAGCCGGTATATCAGTTAAAACTTGTCCGAAATTCTATCTACCCAATCCTAAAGACTTTAAATCTACATCGCCTACATCGTCGTTGGCTTCAAAAGATGATTCGATGCGTAAAGTAAGTTGAAGGTAGATTGTTATAATTTGCTTTTTGTTGTTGTTGTTGTTGGCATAATTAATTCTATTCCGTCAGACTAAGTACACAAAAAATGTTTATGTACCTTGTAAGTCTGTCTGTATGTGTAGGTGTGTGTATGTTCAAGTGTTCACGGATTGATATTTAATTAGAGAAGCATTTGAAACCAGCACTGGAGTACTGGACAGCCAGCTGTTTCATCTTAGTGCTTGGGAATTATCGGAAGTACGCACCCACCCAACCCTACAGGGGTTTGAACCCAAGATCTTCCTTATAAACCAAACCATAGAAAATTAATCTAATACTCACTAGTGACTCTCTACCGAATCGAGTTCCCTGGAGTTCTATTGAGAAGTCGGGACCAGTGAGACCCAACCAGTCAAATGTGAGAATGGATTTCCCACCGATGACATTGGTTGGTGGTCACGAATCGGCTGAAGTTAGAATTGATGGACTGGCCATTGAATCGGGTCCCAGTGGGTGAATGTTAAACGAGTTTACCTTGTAACCGTAAGGTCCTGGGCTGGAACCGTGGTGGTGCATACTGATGAAGAGTTCCAAACTAGGCTGACGAAACAGCTGTCCAGTACTCCTAACTGGTTTTCCAATGGTTCTCCAACTGGTGTCAGCTCACGATGAAATCCTCCAACTAATCAAACAAACAAAAGCCCTACAAAACCAATTACCATTTATTATTATTTCCTTTAATTCCTAGAGGAACATAGGGCTTCAGCCAAGCGTGTCCATTGCGTTCGGTTCTCTGCTGGAGTGTTCACCTGCCTCCAGGTCTACCCAAATGCTTTCATCTCCTCTGCACATCTTCTCCTCCAAGTCACCCTCACACTGACGACCAACTCGCCACTCGAGCAATGGCTTGTCTAGTGATATCACTTGATGGTTTCTTCAGAGTATGGCCAATCCACCTCCATATCTTCCTGCTTATATGTTTCACAAGCGGTTCCTGGTTGTTTTGCTCCCACAGATCCCTAATGCTGATCTTTTCTGGCCATCTGATCTTGAGTAGTATTGAGCGAAGACAACTTTTAATGAAGGTCTGAAGTTTGTTCGAGGTGCTCTTTATGACGCGCCAAGTCTCTGATCCGTATAGTAAGTAGCACTAAATTCACATTGGAGTTGAAAATCCGGATCTTATTCTCATTTTCATACTGAGTGCTCTTGATTTATCTCCACACAGACTTGAGAGTTATGAAACGATGCTTCCCAGGTACTTGAAAATATTATTTAACGCGATAGGATTTGTACACGAGCTGTTCAGCGGTAGAATGTGCTCATCAACTGCTCACGTGATCTGTGGTTCAAATCCCAGTCGTCACACTCTTGAACCTCACTTCACCGGTATTAAGACCAGTAAACAAGAAAGGTAACGGGCTTAAGGTTGGCAGTCTCATTCTGTTAAAGTGATAACACCACGGCTACTAAAACTTCAAAACTCTTGCTTCAGACCCTTCGGTACATAAATAAGTAATAAATACGACTAATCATTATAAGAACTTCCATCTCAAATTCATAATACAAGCTATAACACCAATCAATGACAGTTGAAATAGTATTGCTGTCGTACTACTGGCGGTGTTATGTCTACTTGTTATTTTATGAATGTCTGTCTCTTTAATGTACTCAGAGTAGTAACAACACTGGAAGCCTGCTTCAGTGCACTCTGCGAACATTAATGAAACAATTGAGGAAAAAAATAACTAAAAATCAATAACGATAATTGTTTATCTCCAAATAAAACAAAAAACAATTGAGAAAAGAATATCCTTCTCGATAATTTTCTCTTCTGACTCTACAATTAGATATCTGTATGTTTATATACCTAGAATATTCTAGAATAGTAGTCAATATCAATATGAGTGTTTTTTTAAATAATATCGATTTGTAAAGTAAGATCTCAATGGAATCACCACAGTTCATTAAAGATGCTTAAATTACAATATCCTTGTCGTGGTGGTTGGGCTTGAATACCGTAATGACCCAACATGGTAAACTGACTGGGACTCTGTCCCTGCAGGTCCTACCATGTCACGAAGGTTGTTTGGATAGCGGTTAAACTAAAAGCACTTACCATGAGGTACATGGGCTCCAGTATCCAATGGGATCAAATGGCGTATCAACCCATATGGGTCACTGAAAACCATGGGAATGCAGCTCCTGACGCTGCTCCGCTGCCTTTCGGATTATACTCCGAGTCAAAGGCTCGGGGGATGGTCCGTCAATAAAACCACCTGCTTCGGTTGGGCACCCGGGCAGTATCTCAGCCTTTACACAATGAATTGAATGAAGCAACAAACAATCAATGAAAGTTGTCGCGTGCTAATACACGTGTTGCAATTTCCTTCTTTCTTCCCTTCCCGATGATAGTTAACGAATACTGTTTGAACTTGTTAAGTATGACTGTTTTCCTTCCAGGTGAAGTTCATTATCCGTTCTCTACTTATATATTTTTTTCTTTTGATCTATGTTGTTTTATTATTATTGTGTGGTGCATCCTTCCTGGTGCCATACTGTGCCAAGTTTTTATGCGTTTAAATAAATAAATAAAATTACAATGATAACAAAGATATATTAGCAAATAGAATATCAGCTAAAATTAAGAAAATTCCACCAAAAAACGTTGAGGATCATTCAAACCCAGATGGTCAAGTGGTAAGGATAATGTCTGAACTAACTTCTTTTGGATGCACTAACTACGCTTTTTAATATGGGCCCCAACAGTCAGCCTCATCAATATTGAGTAATCGAACTCTTAAGACGAAATTGAGATTTGTTGGTATGCGGTAAATGACTCAGAAATCCGCCTTGTTAACATCAATCTTGTGTTCTTTTGCATCCACAAGATGAGATAGAATAGTGCCGTGAATGGATTTTGTTTGTCCTTTACTTAACCACTATGCAGGGTGATGTTGGGAAATTCACCGAGTAACACGCCAAATTTTACGGCTTATATAACTAACTGGCTCACTCCACTGGAGCAGTTAAATTGGTAGGTACACATGGAAGAGGCGAAATTAGGCAGTTTGTCTTTTACTCCTGAACGCGAGAGAGGAGTGGTTTTGAAGACATAGCGTAATTCGGCAGCAGGGAATGCTCCTTTTACCTCATTTTCAATTCGATGTGTTAGTATCTCGCTGATTTTGTTCGCAAGGAACTGCATTTGCAAGAATAAGGCCTTTTTAGGAACTGTTGGTAACTTGGGCTGTTTTGATTTTAGATTCATATTCTTATCAATAGACTTTTCTAGATAACCATTTTCACTTAGCAACTGTTTAATAACATTTAGTTCCTCATCAAGACATTCATTCGAGAAAATTGCTCTTGCTCTGTGAACCAAGGAGCACTTTATCAGATTGCGTTTGTATTTCAAGGGCACGAAGCTGAGAAAAATAAGTATACTGACAGTTAGTTGATGTAGGTTTTCTATATACACTTCTTCTTACTGCGCCATCCTCTTTTCTGATCATTAGGACATCTAGAAATGAAATACCGAAGTCTTTTTCTCTCTCAATAGTAAAATTTATTGCAGGATGAACCTCGTTAAATTTTTTCACGGTGTTCTTTGCTTCTTTCTCATTTTTCATAATCAAAAATGTATCATTTATGCACTAGAATGGGTCCTAGCTGTGACTTCATTGCCATACTTTTGATTTGTCTATATGGTTCCTTGTAAAATAAAGAGTGGATATTCATTATGCATTTCAAGAGAAGCTCTTTCATCATCAGAAAAGATATAGGAATGCCAACATCGATGTTTCGTCTTTTGAGTTTTTCGCATACAAAGTCACCTGTAATAGAGAAGATTTGTAGCTCAGGTGGATGATTTGCAAACCAGTCAAATCGCTTTATTCGATGTTATGAAAACCAAAAGATCCACCAGAAAAAGGAGATAAAATTTATACCATTTACAAAATAAATTGTATGTATGAACTGTAACAGGTATTACATCGGCCAAAGTAGGCGTCTCCTTCAAATTAGAATCCAAGAACACAAATCAGCCGTGAAAAGATAAAATATAAATTCTCTAGTATCAATGCACATAGACAATTATGGACATCAGTTTGATTGGGATAATGTCAAAATCTTAGACAGACGAAACACCGAAAGTGCAGTCAGGGAATTCCTAAAAACCTGGTACTCAAACGAATCAGTCAGTGATTAACAAACACGTTAATATAGACGAAACATACGAACTAATAAAAAATAAATCAGGTGACCAGAAAGTTTAAAATCCAAGTCAGTAGAAAATGATTAATACATGTGTAAAGATGGTTACCGGGAGACGGAATTCTATCACTTATGAAGAAATTTAAATCATTTCACTTTATGTTAAAATTTGAACTGAAATGGGATGTTGTCCAGAAGGACGGGCGACGAAAGCTCCACAACCAAACCAACCAGCTCAGAGAACACCATTAATTGCAAAAGTCCACTGTTCCCATAAGTAGTGGTACACATTTGGTGAATAAGGAAGATACGTCAACAAATGATATCATGAATTTTTAGTCAACATTTAAATCTCTTTCATCCTTTCAACAAATCCAAAAGTATCCTATACACTGTCTGTGTTTCACCCAACTCGGTATGAAGAGGTTGTAAGAGGAGTTCTATTTATGTCTCAGTGTTACTCTACAGAGATTGACTTAGATTTTTGTTTCTCAATGACTAACATTGGCTTGTTATACACATACATATGTATATGAACGAAGACTATTCATCATTTCCAAATGAAACAACATTATTGACATTCAATGGATTTATTCCCCTTGATGAATTTGAATAAAGCAAGAACAACAATATGGCGGTTTGTGCAGAATAAGAAGATGGTACCATCATCATTGTCTGTTTTGTTGGCTTCTCATCAGCGCATCTGCTGCTTGCAGTCTAAATAAATTAATGAGGTTTACGTACAGAAAACTCGGTGGCACAGTGGTTAGGACTCTCGCCGACCATGCACATGGTCCGGGGTTCGAGCCCACGCCGGCACACACCTGATACCTATGGTTGGCCTGCAAAATTTGGGCTACCGATATCCACGCTGAAAATTCCATACTTGTACCAAAAATACAGTGTGGAATCAAGCTGTAAATCAAAAATCAAATCAAATTAACATACTTGCAAATTGTTTTCATGATGTCAGTAGACAGGAGGCTTCTCAATTAGTGAGCAGTGCTCAGAAAATTGTGTTTATTAAGCTTTTGTACAGACATTTCAAGTTTAACCAAAATAAGTGTATGCATACAATGGTAAAGGAGTTTCATAATGAAGACGAGATATGCGTAGGATGCTGAGTGACTAATAAATTAGATAGCAATGTACTGAGTTGAACTGAAATCATAGAGACAAGAGACAAGCAAAATTACAGATTATAAAAGAACGGTGAGGTTAAAGACAAAGATTATGTAATCAGATGGGAGAATAAAGACTTTCAGTTACCAGGGCAAGGAAAGACTAATAGCTGCTTTTTTCTGAACACATAAATCTGGTTTCAAGCGTTTGATAGAAATTGCTTCAGCAAACTTGAGGAGAATCGAGCCCCCCTGTCTATTGATAATTTTAAAGGATTTCTCGATTTCAACCTCACGACCTGTATCGAGGAGGTGTTTGGTAATAGCGCTATTATAAGAGTTTGTTCCCTTGAGACGTAGGCTTTTCGGCGCATGTTCAGAAAATCTGGGGTGTGCCCTTCTTCTTTCTGTTCTTCCAACGTAACTGCTCCCGCAGATACAAGTAAATTTGTACACACAGTTGGAGTTAACATGAGAAGGGTATACTAACAACAGGTAAATTTTGCAAGTATTTTAAAACTTTTCTGCACGTAAACCTTGAAGAACCTAGAAGACCTGGATTTTGTGGATGATTTATGCTTGATGTCACACAAAATCGAAGACTTACAAGCGAAAACCGACAAACTGTTCGAAGAAGCAGCCGGCGAAGACAGGACTCCATGTGAACATAGACAAGACAGTGATCAAAATAACCAACCAACAACAACAGCAACATCCAGCGTCGGTCACCATCAACGGCAGGGATTTGAAAGAGGTTACTTCATTCACTTCACTTATCTGGCATTGGGCATTGTCTCAACTACAGGATGTCGGAACGGACGAGAATGTCAAATCGAGCGAGAATCGGAAAGGCGAGAAACACATTCATCAACCTGAAACCAATCAGAAAATCTTCTTCACTCAGTATCAACAACAAAGTCCAGTCGTCAATAAAAACGTCAAGTCAGTCAGTTCTTCTATACGGATGAGAAACTTGGAGGGCGGGTCACAAAGAATATTTCCAACAGCCTGTTGCAGACTTTTATCAACAACTGTCTTCGCTGGCTCTTTACTGAAGATCAGATGGCCGTACCGGAAAGAATCACCAACAAGAAACTATGGGAGCAAACAAAACAAGAAGCAATCGCCGAACAAATTTGCAGGAAAAAGTGGTGATGGATTGGACACTCGTTGAGGAGGCCAATTGGTGACATCGTGCGTCAGGCCATTGCTCGAGTGGAACCAGGCCGAAAGGGAAGCGGCGAGTGGGACATCAGTGCAAGGGTGACATGGAGGAGTTCGTGTGAGGAGGAGTTGAAGCAGTATGGACTAACATGGATGCAGGTGAAAAGTACAGCAGAAGACAGAAGTGACAAGTAGAGACGTGCAGTTGAAGCCCTATGTTCCACTAGGAACCCAAGGGAACAATAATAATAATAATAATGCACGTAAACCTCATAATTTACTGTAAGACTGTTAGCAAATGGGCTGATGAGAAGCCAACGAAATAGACAATGATGATGCTACTATCTTCTTATTCTGTACAAACCGCCACATTGTTGTTCTTGCTTTGTTCAAATTACTGACATTTTCATCGATTCTTTCTTTGTTTCTTGTTTAAGTTGTGTGTGTGTGTGTGGGCGAGTTTTTCTCTCTCCCTCTTTCTCTCTTTCATTTGTAAAACATTTTTTGTCTTTTCTACTTTAGACTTTCACAGATAGAATGACTCATAATGATGATGATGATAATGAACGTATAAGTCAAGGACAAGAACGACAATCGCAACAGCAGCAACAACAACAAGTACATCATAACAAATCAATAACTGGTTGTATACTTACACCCTTATCATCCCTACCCAATATGTGTGTTGAAGCATATCTTGGCAATTTAGACTTTTTCTTTATTCGAGAAACTACAGATTTACGCGAAGTAAGCTGCAGTGTAACTCACTCAACAATTCATACATTTTTATTTATGCAATAAATTAAATTAAACTTGTTTATATCCTTGTGAATTACACCAAAATTATGATGTTATTATTATTATTACTGTTATTATTATTTCTTTTCCCTTCGGCAATAAGGAAACAGGCATGAAATGTACCGTAACGAAAAACTTGGAGGATCTGGACTTCGCCGATGATATATATCTGATTTCTCACAAAGTGGAAGATATGCAAGTGAAAAGAAACAAGTTGGAAGAAGAAGCATCAAAGATAGGACTTCACTTCAGGTGAACATAGAGAAAACAGAGGTGATGAAGATTCCTGGCCAACAGCAACAACAACAGACAACAATCAGCCAGCATAAATGGGAGGACTCTGAAAGAAACAACCTCCTACCTTCGCCTACCTGGGAAGCATCGTTTCAACTACTGGTGGACGGAACTGACAAGGATATTAAAGCAAGGATCGGGAAAGCATGACAAGCTTCCATTACTCTCTAGTCTGTGTGGAGGTCAACAGCCCCACTCAGCATCAAAAATAAGATCCGGATTTTCAACTCAAATGTGAAGTCAGTCAATGCTACTTACTATATGGATCAGAGACTTGGCGCGTCATGAAAAGCATCTCAAACAAACTACAGACCTTCATTAACAGCTGTCTTTGCTCAGTACTTCGCTAAAGATCGGATGGCCGGCTAGAAAAGACCAATAACAAGGAGGGATCTGCGGCGCTGAATGAACCAACCCAGCAAGAACCAATTGTGCAACAAATAAGCAGGAAGAAGTGGAGGTGGATTCTCCATACTATGAGGAAACCATCAAGTGACATCACTAGACAAGCCATTGCTCGAGTGGAACCCGAAAGAGAAGGGGCGAGTTGGTCATCAGTGCGTGGGTGGCTTGGAGGAGGTCATGTGAAGAGGAGATGAAAGCAAGTGGGCAGACTTGGAGCCAGGTGAAAATTCTAGCAGAGAACCGAACGCAATGGAGATGTCCGGCTGAAGCCCTATATTCCTGTAGGAATTAAAGGAAATAATAATAATAATTCCCTTGGGTTCCTAGTGGAACATCTCCGCGTTGTCCTTTTCCCTGTAGTAGTTCTCTTTAGCTCTCCTCCTCCTTACATTATCTTTTTTACGTTATCCTGGTCGGATGTGGCCAACTCTTCATTTCCCATTGGATGGCCTGATGCCGATCTATATCACTGAAAAAAGAGAATCTTTTTTTCCTTAATTCGAACAGGGATAGTCTTACAACCATTTGAGTAAATGTAGACGTCTAACAGAAATCTCCTGCTGTAGACTGAATATATTTTCTAAAAACTTATCGTCTATAAGATACACATATATTTGGGTTAACTTTGGAGTAAAACCAGACTCTGTTGAATTATTCATCTTAACACGGAACATATACGCGAATCGGTAATACTAAACGATGTACTTATTATCGAACAGTCAGCTCCATCTGCCTTTATGGCTGTGAGCGAGACCTGGCCATTGACAGTGGAAGACATAAAAAGGCCAGTTAGCTGTGTTCGATTATAGGTGCTTGTGTTCTATCTCCCGTGTGAAGTGATATAATAGGGTAAGGAATCCTGAGGTTAGGCGTCCGTCGAGTGCTAGGTAGGTGGGAGGGGAAATCAATCGACGAGGCTGTGAAATTGCATAGACTTAGATGGTTAGGATATGTGTTATTTATGTATGTCTAGCTATCGCCTTCCTCGACAACAGGAAATGTTAGCTGACATAGGGTTAGCATAGAAAAGAGCTAGAACGTTGTGGTCAAACCAAAACATGGCTTCATCAGTCAATGAAATCCACAACAGTTAGTTTGAGCCAGCCAACCACGTAGGAAGGTGTAGACTTCCTGACTAACTGGTTGGGGTCTTCGGGGCGGTAAAAACCAATGGCTGGAAACAATTGGTGATATGGTTCTCAATGGCCGGCGCAGGTGCATCCACTCCTTGTGACATATGTTTTCCAATGAAACTATGTTGTTCTTTGATATTACTATTCCTTTTTTCTCATATCCCTGTCTACTGTCTCTACTATGCGCTTCTTCTACTTGCTTCCTTTTTTTGTGCTACATGGAGTGCCGCGACTTGAACTGCTGAACATCGGTGCAAAGTTCTATGTCGAAAACAAACAGAAAGACATACAAACCTCTATTTAATATAGTATTCAACATTATTTATTGAAATCTACTCACCGAATAGTGCTACGTCGCCTGGTATACCACCAGCTAGCGCTAAGCTTAAGAAAACATGAAGTTCTAGTGAGAAGTCATGATGATTAGAGTCCACCTGGTCAAGAGTGAGGAGAAATACTCGCCGCAAATAACATTGGCTGTCGGTGGCGACGTCGGATTGAATCACTGAGAGTCAGGTCCCAGTAGTTGAATGGTGGTGGTCTTCTAGCCTACTATGTAACTGGGAGGTTGGGGGTTCCAAAACCCGGTGGATGCGTAGTGCCGATGAGTCTCAAGTCAGAGCGAGGCAGTCATCCAATATGTGGTCAAATTTGAAAAAGGTGGAAGAAGGTTGGGCATATGCAGCTAGCGATCTTACCCAGAAAAATCAATCCAATCACTACATGAACTTGAAAGCACAGAAAGTATATAATAATAATACCAGATAGTGTAATAACATACTCAAAGTATTAGATTCCTTAGGGCTTCCTCAATTCTCTGTAACCTGGCAGCCTGTTCGAATTTTTGGGCGAGTTATTATACTACCTACATATTGCATCCAATCTACCGTTAACGCACATTTATTTATCACCTAAATATAAATTCTAACAGAATCATTTACTCTCGTAACTTTATTAATCATTTAAGACCAAATGAGTTTCATATTCCCAAGAAATCAAGGAGGAAGCATCTTAGTGGTTGGCAAAGAGCTCTCCAAACGCATACCAATACACTTAACTATGGTCCCTGTAACAATGAACACTAACTGCCGCTCTCTGTCTAACAAGATAATGTACCTACAATCTCTGTTGTCCACTGACACTTATCATAGTACTGCCATAATCACATTACAAGAAACGTGGTTACATGAACTGTATGATGACAACCTTATCTCACTGAAGGACTTTATTTTTTTCGTCAAGACCGTCAATGTTGTAATAAGAAAAAGTGGTGGTGTAAAATGCTGAGAATTCCATTGTGTATCATGAGTACTGTTTTGGAATAAAGCAAATTATTGTTAACAAGTCCTTCTTATATAAATACATATGCATTTAAATATCTGTCAATTTTCCAACGTTAACGTTTTTCTTTTGTTGTTCTATTTCCTCTTATTTTGATATATCAGGTTGGTGGTATCTCCGGTTTTTTGCATACAAGTCTGTCTGAAGTCCAAGCTGTTGTTGGAGCACATACTACAAGCTTAGGTGGTAATGCCCTCCTATCTTATCATTTAAGTGAAGTAGTTATCCTTCGGCCAACATCAAGAAATCAAGCTCAATGTCTTATAAATGTCTGCGGTGATATGGCTAAAGTCAACTGTGTGAAGACCGCGACGGTGGCGGCGACGAGGACGACGCCGATGACCACAATGACGTCGAAATCAATAAAATCCATGACAAAATCGAAATTGAATTAGCTCATCCGTTTGTTTGTGTGTTTACTTTCTTTTCTATCTGATTTCAAAATTTTTTCTGATTGGGGGGGAGGGACTACATTGATGACTTTTGTATAAATTCATATGAGGTGTGAAGCATTCCAATAAAATAAATTCTGATCCCCTTTTTTGTTTTTCCCAGTTACTTTTATCTACTTCACTGACAGACAGCCATTACAGTAACTTTAGTTGTAAAGGTCATAGTGTGGGGTAACAGAGTGATTTTATTTGCAATTCAAAGTGTTCTCTCAGCTGGTTGGTTTAAGTTGCGGAGCTTTCGTCTTCCTTCTGGCCAAAATCTCATTTCAGCGCAATATTTAGCATTAGTTAGAGAGCCACTGTAAACTAGGAAGTATTGATGATCTGTTTCGTCTTAATTCTGGGCTCTTCAACAGTAGGCACTTATAACTGAACCATAAAACAGATCAGAGATCTTCATTTTTCCGGTCAATTGACTATTCAACCACTAGCGATGAAATGTAATGACTCAACCAGCGATATGTAGAAGCCGCCAAGCTTAGCTGCCTACTTAAATCATTGGGCTACCGGAATTTCAATTCATCCGAATAATAAGACACCTCTTCTTATTGTTTAAATCTTGCAATTAGATCAGGTGATCATCCTGTGAACTCGCAAGCATTTCTAATTGACTTCCAACTAAACTCTGTGCAATTTATTATTCAAGAAAACGAAGAGAAAGTTTACAGAATTTTGTTCTATTTCCATATACAAAACAACACTACGCCACCTTGATATACTTAGGATTATTATTTCATATGTAAATTCATTTTCAAGAGGAAATAACTTTGATCTAAATACGCCTAAAATTTTTGTACTGCGTTCACGTGTTACCTAAAATAAAGCGCTTTATTATTTATTTATTTCTGCCTTTTGGTCGATCCCTAGTAATCATTGACCTGTAGGGTCGAACAAGTTCGGTGTGAAGACAAATATATTAAATATTCCCATAGTAAAATTTAGAACAATACATTTAAGCGACCAATATTGTTGTTTTCAATTAGATCTCATCAGGCCTAACTCGAATATCCCTATATAAGTTTACAAATAAAAATTCAAATATAAACCAATTATGGTGTTTTGTCTATAGGATAATACGATGGTTAATATAAATTGTGCAGTTAGTCATAATAGTGGTAATGATAATATTAATAATAGTAATAATAATAATAATGGTCTTATAAATAATAAGGCTGAAAAAGTGAGGCAATCTGTGATAACACGAATAATAAAAAAACAGCATGATTAAACAAACAATTGTTCAGGTGGATGTAGTAGATAAAGGCTAGTAAAAACAAATGAACCGATTAAGTAATGCTAGACTGATTGTAAGGGAAGTAAATGAAACACGTTTTTAATGAAGATGTGATAAGATTAAGGGATGGATGATAAAAGTGTCGGGTTGGAAATATAAACAAGGGGTGGGGTAGAAGTCATTAGTTGGTTATGTCTTAATGGACCAACAAGGGAGGGATAATGGCTGTGTACGAACTTCTTTTGAATGAGCATAGTTTAGGTTTACTAGTACGCATGCCTATCGCCTGCCTCACCTGTGTGCAGTAAACGAATACGAAGTCTATTAGAAAGATTCGGTGGGAAACGATGAATTACGTTGAAGGCTCTTGTTTATTAATGTGAGAAAATTGAGTTACGGATTGTTTTTGTCTGTCCTTCGCCAAACCACCACGATGGGAGATGTTCAGTAGTGACACGTTGGCTAAGCTGTCTAGTAGTAGTGTGTCCAACATAATTGTCACCGCAGGTGCAGTTGAATTGATTAATGCACACATGTGTGGCAAAACTTTCAAGCTTATCCTTCGGTTGAGTCCCAATCATTCGTTGGCTAGAGAATGACAAACATAGGTATGCTGCGTAAAACGTCCTCCGTATACTCCTGGATAGTCTCTGGAACAAAATCTCACTAGATAAGTCACTATTAAATTGTAACTTAATAAATAGAGGTTTCTTACGTGCAGTCAGAGTCTCAGGTTTTTTCTCTGATGTTTTCATATGTTTCTTCATGAAGCTACTCGGATAGCCCATCTCCATCAAAGAATCGTGAATATATTCAAATTTTCTTTTGTAAGAGGTCATCCGTACATATGTTTCTTGCTCTGTTCGTAAGACATTTGACAAAATCTCTTTTATATTTAATGGGCAGGTAACTAAGGAAGGAAGTGTGTGTGTATTGCCCTGTGAATGTGCTTTTTCTGTACACCCTTCTCCTAAGTGAGCCATCTTCTCGCCTACTTAGCAAGATATCCAGAAAATGTAGTTGATAAAAGGAATGTTGTCAGTTCGTGATGTGAATTTGTGCATTTATCTTTACGTGTTTACCTCAAATAAAATGAATGATAAGTTGAGTATTTGAATTACTTCTACTCACAAATTCATAACCTTAAGAAAAAATTCAATTTTACTGATTCATATTGGAATAATAAAGAGAAGATTTGTAACTCAGGTGGAGGATTTGCAATTAGTAGTGTTCTACGAGCTGATTGGTTTGGTTGTGGAGCTTTCGTCGCCCGTCCTTCTGGACAACATCCCATTTCAGTTCAAATTTTAGCATAAAGTCAAATGATTTAAATTTTTCTTCATGAGTGATAGAATTCCGTCTCCCGGTAACCATCTTTACACATGTATTAATCATTTTCTACTGACTTGGATTTTAAACTTTCTGGTCACCTGATTTATTTTTTATTAGTTCGTATGTTTCGTCTATATTAACGTGTTTGTTAATCACTGACTGATTCGTTTGAGTACCAGGTTTTTAGGAATTCCCTGACTGCACTTTCGGTGTTTCGTCTGTCTAAGATTTTGACATTATCCCAATCAAACTGATGTCTATAATTGTCTATGTGCATTGATACTAAGGAATTTATATTTTGTCTTTTCACGGCTGATTTGTGATCTTGGATTCTAATTCGAAGGGAACGCCTACTTTGGCCGATGTAATGCCTGTTACAGTTCATACATACAATTTATTTTGTAAATGGTATAAATTTTATCTCCTTTTTCTGGTGGATCTTTCGGTTTGCTTAATATCGAATTAAGTGATTTGAAGATGTTGTCCACAAGGACGGGCGATGAAAGCTCCGCAACTAAATCAACCAGCTCAGAGAGCACTATTAATTGCAAATCATCAACCTGAGCTACAAATCTTCTCTATTATTTTAAGAGTGATTACCAAATTAACTTCAGGTGATTTTTATTATTAATCAGTATGTGTGTTATTTTTAAAAGTATCGTTTCAGTTGTACTCAGTATGGTGGTTACATAATTTAAGACAATCAAAATTGAAATCACAGCATTTCATGCAGATTGATACTGTCTACATCTAAAGGACAATTGTTTCAGTGGCTGTGAATCACCAATACACTTACTTGCGACCATAAAATCATATGTTCGACCCCCAGTGGATTTTCGGGTGCGTCAGTAGTTCAGTTGTAACAACAGAAGACAAGGGCTAGGATATCAACACATGACCAAATATTGACGTAAATTACTGCCCACCAATTTCGGCTAACAGCCAGCTCTCACCACACTCGTCCCTCGTCAAAGACTTGCGACTGAAGTTGGTTCGGTCTTCTTGGCTCTAGGAGCTTTGTTCGTTTGTCTTGCTGTCTGGAATCTCGGTCCTCGTTGATGTTCCCCTGTTTCTCTTTGTTTTCCATTGCGATTGTGTCTGCGTAACCCCATCACCTCAAATTGATCATATGTGGTCCTTCCCACTTTGGAAACTGTTTTCCTGAACCTATCGCACTTTCGTCGGTATTTCGCATCACACTTTAACATGTTGCTTTCTCACGATCTCCCAGCAGCGTCCTAAGTAACAGCCTCATCGCCGAGAGATCTTGAACGCCATTCAACTGCGCGAAGGCCTAGAAGTCCTGTCCGAAGATCCATATGTCTCCATCAAAAACTGCAGGGCATAGGCTCTCCATTTGTCGGTAGGCAGCGACCCCGAATGTAACAACAACAACAAGACAAGGACCAGGCAAAAGGTCGTCTATTTAGGAAGTCAACACATAACCAAATATTGGGGACGTACACATTGACGTAAATAACTATCTAGCTCTCACCATACAGTGATTGAAGGCTTGTTAGCCATGCGAGGGGTCAGGGCATGGTTCTAGGCCGACACACATGTTAACCACGCCAAGGCCATTTTCAAGTCCGGACGATAGGGGAGGAGAGGCTAGAGACTACTGACAACCCCAATACAATAGACTACCACCGCTATTATAACTTCAAAGGAAGTGAGCAGCCGATATAGTCCTTCTAGGCGAGGACGCTGACAAAATCCAGCAGTCTTCTAAACACCTTCAGCTGCAATCTACGAATGTTTGGCATGCGATTCTCTCCCACCAAATGTAAGATGATATTACAGGAATGGACTGCACTGACTCCTAGTTTAGAAATAGGGAGTGAAGTGGTAGAGCACGTTGACCGTTTCACTTATTTGGGAAGTACCATCAGCCAACGACAACGGGTTGATCGCTGACGAAATCTCAGCACGGATACAGAGGCCTAGTTTCACGCATGCCAGTTTACGCCGTCTCTGGCGTAGACGTGATATCCTGCTATCGCCCATAGAGCGTGTGAGCTGCTCGGCAGTCCGCTCCGTCCTCTTTAATGGCTGTGAGAGTGGAAGACATAAAAAGATTAGCTGTTTTCGATCATAGGTGCCTGCATTCTGTCTCCCGTTTGAAGAGGTATAATAAGGTGAGCAATATAGAGGTTAGGCTTCAGTCGAGTGCTAGGTAACGGGGTGGGGCGGAATCAATCGATGAGGCTGTGAAATTACATCGACTGAGATGGTTAAAACACTTGTTCTATGTGAATGCCTAACCATCACCTTCCTCGACAACGGGGAATGTTAGTTCACGGTAAAAACCAATGAATGCTGGTGACAATCGGCGGTGATATGGGTCAAAATCGTTCTGGGTGATGGCTGGCACAGATGAATCCACTCCTTGTGATTTATAATACCCAATGAAACTCTATTGTTCTTCGTTATTATTATTCCTTTGTCTCACACCTCTGTTTACTGTCTCTATTATGCATAACTTCTACTTTCTTCTCTTACTTTGTGTGCTACATAGAGGGAGTGTGACGACTTGAACTGCTGCACATCAGTGCAAAGTTCTATGTCGAAAACAAACAGACAGTAACTTCAAAGCTTCAAGCTCATTGTTCCACGCAGAACACAATGGCTATGAAAAAAGAAATACATATCAAGGAGATAGATATCTCAACTGAACTCTGTTTTTCTTTATTTTGAAATTAGAAAGAATAATTCGGGAGCTTGGGGTGGATATCAAGACAATAAATAGTACAAACTACCATGTATATATATTTTGAAAGAAATACAAAAATGTATTTTTTTTTTATTACATGCCTGAATCAGTATGAAAGGGAAGGAAGGGTTTAAGAGGAGGAGTACAATGTCATGATTTAGTAAATGAAAATATAAATATATCAAGTTCAAAATGAGGAGGATAAGTAATAATATAAACAAATGATTACAAATAACAAACAAATTAGTAATAATAATAATAATATTAATAACAAATTAAACTATTATTCCGTGAGAAAAAAAAATTATCAAAAATTAAAATTAATTTTTTTCCTGTTAATGTGATTGACTTAAACCTTCAATTGATTGATGATGCATACATAATAATAATATGATGATGATGGTGACTAGCTGTCACAGGGTAGTGCTATTCGGCGGCGGGAGGGGGAGGTGGCTGTTGGTTGGATGGCGTTGGGGGGCTCACTCATCTCACTAGTGATCTAGAATACGTAAGTTTCCTGAGACAATTTTATTTTCTAATATTGAACCCGGGGGTATACTGATGAGACTACCGTAATTGGCGATGATAATAACTGTCCCCTGAAATACAACAGACAAAAAATAAATAATAAATTTCAAGTGTTAGTTGAAAAGGGAAGGGGATTGTAGTCATGTGAACTAAACTGCTTACTGTCGAACAGACATATCCCATGTTATCTGATAGGCTAATCTAACATAAAAAGAAACTAATAATAATAATTTGCTTTATGCCAAAACAGTATTTGCGTGTACACAATGGAATTCTCAGAATTTTACTACAGTACTGCGTCCAGTTAGTACATTGTCAAAAGGGAAATCTCAATTCATTATGACAACAACTTATTAGCATATCGGTAGCAAAGCCAAAATTAAACAGAGTGTTTGAAGGTGCTAGAAAAGTAGATACCAGCATATTTACTGGCGTAAGCAGAAGAAAGAAACAAAGCTGCACATAACAGAAAAAAAGAGAAAGAGAAAAGGAAAAGAAAGAAAGAAAAAACATTGTACCTATAAATGATATGAGTTGGAAAGACGAGATCCAGTTGTTCTACTGACTATTTAATAAGTTATAGGTATCACACCTAATGCTTTCTTTATCGCACAGAACACGAACGAGACAAGTAGGTAGGGTATGGTTGAGTTTTTGTACTTACTAGTGCGAGCATATAGTTTTCTATATATAGCCTTCTGGTTTTGCCTGATGAGATAGGTACAAGGGGAGAGTTGCGAATAAAGAGGGTGGTGTGAGTTAGATAGATAGAATGGATTTAGCCAATTTTTCACATGAGTCCAAGTGCCTGTCAACCAGAATTATAACAAGCTGGTTAAGTGGCACCCTGTGGCTTACCCTGCTGACAACCTTTAACATCCTGCGTAATAAGGTATAGTCCTTGTTCAGTAGCCCTGGAAAAACTAAGGGGAACAATAGAGAATAATAGGCAGAATGCAAGAGTTAACGAATTGTAGGAGTAAGGGTTGGGTTATCCCAGAATGTCTTAACTTCTTGATGTAGAAGGTAAGACTGAATATTTTCTTAGAAATCAGCAAGATATGAGACGACCAGGAAAGATCAGCAGATAGAATGACGCCTAGGTATTTAATTTCCGACTTGGTTTCTATTTCAGTGCCATCTATGTTGCACACCTCGTGAGTTCTAACCGGTTTGTTTAGGTCAGATTTTTGCCTAAAGGTGAAATTGGTATTTGGAGGGGTTTAAGGTGAGACCTTTTTCCTTGGACCATTGGCTGACTTCTGATAAAAAGCCGTCTAGTTTAGAGCAGTCACTTTGACATTTGACAGGCAAAGATACAGTTAGGTCATCAGCATATTTGATAAAAATTAATGTCATTTGAAGATTGTAGGTCATATAGAAAGAAAGAAAAGGGAAGTGGGGAAAGTACAGCACCTTGGGGGACACCAGCTTCAGTGAGCACAGCAGAGGAGGATTTGCCTTTGTATACGGTATACTGCATTCTATTTGAAAAGTAGGAATGCAACCAGTTAGTGACCCAGGATTCAGTTCGTGCCATAGAGAGCTTATTTAGCAAGAGACATCTAGGTACGGAGTCGAAAGCAGAAGTGAAGTCGAGAAGCGTGCAGCGGACGTATTTGGCACCATTATCTAATGATGAGACGATACTGTTGTGTAAGACGGCTGCAGCGTTTAAAGTGCTCCTACCCTGTCTATAGGCAAATTGTTTGGGGTCTTCAAAGCTTTTAAGAGAAGGTTCGAGTTTAAGAAGTACTAGTTTTACCATAAGCTTTAGAAACTAAACATCGTTTTTAGGATATAGATTGAACTAAATTAAATATAAGTTTAAGCATCACAATAAAACTTTCCCCGAAAATACGTAGGATTCTTGATAAAGCAGGAATCAGGCTAGTGGCATTCAAACCTATGAACTCACTCAGGCAGGGAGAAGCTCTGTAGGCTAAACGACCCGGTGGACCCAATGACAGAAATAATACATAATATACAAAATATCCTGCAATGACTGTTAGTAGGTCAACTATATAGGTCACACTAGTAGATCGGGGATAATCAGATTGTCGGAACATAAGAATTTAGCTAAGGTAAGAATGATTGACCCCGGGAAGATAAGCAATTTAGAAAAAAGCTCAGTAATTGCACTGCATGCATTAACACGCAATAGAGTGGTGGGAGAGGGTTAAGATTCTAAGAAGTAATCTATGTAGGTGGAGATAGACAGCGGTTGATTACTGAATCCTGCTTGGTTCATCGAGTCTACACCCAACACAACACATGCAACACAAATGACTCAATGCAAATACCAGAAATATGGAAGATATTATTACCGCCCGTCAATTCCAAAGAGGATAATAAATAATCTTGAAATTCTATTTCAGTCCAAACACATCACAACATTCTAACAAGTTACATATTATGACTATAAAAACACTCGTCTTATTTCCCGTCTGATTGTAATTGATCAATAACCCTCATATTATTATTTCTCAATGTGCATTATCCTATATTGATTTTTATTCATATGTCTAATAATGAATTCCACTCATGTATATAAATGAAGGTTATGATTCTCGTTGACCATGCACATGGTCTGGGGTTTGATCCCCTGCTGACGCACACCTGATATCGATGGTAAGCCTGCAAAATTTGGGCTACCCATATGACATACTGAAAATTACATACTTGTACCAAAAATACGGTGGGGAATCAAGCTATTGTCATTCCTAATCCAATGCATTTGAAAGGCCTTACAGTATGTCTTATTACCATCAGCCTACAAATCTTATTAGTGTCAATAACTCTTAGTTAAATAATAAGTAGTGTGTTTTAAGAGGAAATTAAAACTACTCCTTTCATCAGTAAGAAGCATAATTTAAAAAATAATAGTAATTATCAAAATAGAATTATCGGCTGGTTAGTTTACCTTCAACACAATTCCTTTCCCAAAGTACACATCTCCTGTGACAGTTAAATGATCCAATTCAAGTAAATCTGGTATACTTGCAAATCTCATCAGAAAATCTTTCACTTTTTTGAAATGACTACCAAGTTTTATTAAAGGCACAGACGGGAAACTGCGTAATGGTGAGACGGATAAAGTCCCGCCTTCGAGGACATACAAATTAGACATGACTAGCAATAAATCTGATGTAGTTTTCACCGGAAGGAAACGACTTCGTGGAACATTGACACCTTTAGAAGAAAAAATAAATATATAAATAAATAATTATATTCAATTTAAGAAAGGATGGCGAAGCACTTACTCATGAGAAAATTTAAGATATTCTAGTATTGGTTTTGTAGAGATTTTGTTCGGTTGGAGGGAGGATTTCATCGTGAGCTGACATCAGTTAGAGAACCACTAGAAAACCTGGACAGAAGTTTCGTCCTAGTTTGGGACTCTTCTTTATCCGATGCTCACTAGCGACTAGCCCTATTCAGACAGTTAACCTGGGGTTCTAGTGGGAAGCCGTGACCAGTAGGGTACAGTAGGTTTAAGATGAGGCAGTAACTCATCAAAGAAGACATTGTGAAGTGGTCGTGCTATATCGTGAATTGGCGGAGGTGAGAATTCATAGACTGGCCATTTGATCGGTTCGCAGTAACTTAATCGTATACAAGCTCACCGTGTAACCAGAAGATCCTGCCTTTAAACACTGGTGGTGGGTGCGTACCGATGAAGAGTCCTAAACTAGAAAAAAATGGCTATCCAGTACTCCCAGGTTTTCCAGTGGTTCTCTAACTGATGTCAGCTCATGATGAAATCCTCCAGGCAATCAAAATTTAAGATCATCTCACATGAGATGTTATCACTCACTCACTACCTTATATCACATTAGTGGCTTCAGCTATCTTCTTTTTGCGTTATGTATATTTCTCAACATAGTGTAGACACGCTAACCTAACCATTTTATTAGTAATAGTGTTTCATTTGCAAAACAGCTGATTGTGTTTCTAAGGTATAGTCACAAAAATACCCTTAAACATAAATCTAGACAGGCTTTTTTAAACACAACATTAACAAGGTTCATACATCCATTCAGACGTGAACAAGATCAAACGCACAATGATGATGATAATAACAATAATAATAGGCTCAAACTGTCTGAAAAGATAAATGAGCGCATGCCTCTACTGCATTTTTTCAATCTTTTGAGCATGTCAGTCTATTGAGCATGAAATAAAACCTCTGAAGGATATTTTATCTAAGAATGGATATCCTGAGAAGTTCATTAATAAATACTCTAAAGAAACTACCCCTGCAAAACAATTCAAACAGTTCCAAAGAAACCTATCTATATCAGTTTGCCATTCAAAGGAGATGATGTACAGGAATTAGGCAAACGAATACTCGACAAAGCCATCAAGAGAACTTATTATGCTGCAAAACTTGTTTTCCTTAACACCACCAACATGTGAGTGCTTCAACAATCTGAGAAAGACCAGTCGCCAATCCTCGACACTTCAAACTGCATATATCAATTTTAGTGTGTTTGTGGCCGCAAATACATAGGTCGTACGGAAAGGCGATTGTCTACTCGCATGATGGAGCCGTTGCCAAAATGGTTGAAAACAGCTGAGTGTAAAGTGCCAAAATCCTCAATAACAAAACATCTTGTGGACTATAGACACGATCTCAACGCCGTCAAGTCATTCACTATTTTCAACAGACAAAGAAACAGCAAGATGTTTGCAATTGCAGAGGCTTGTGCATTTCGAGTTTATAAACCAGATCTCTGTGTACAAAAGGAGATGGTCGTCACTATGAATCTACCATGGTAATACGTTTTACTTATTATTCTACCTCTTATCATTCTTGATTCATTTGAAACTATCCTTTATCAGTAGGATTATCTTAACTCACTTCAGCACTATTATTATTGTTATTATTATCATGACTATTACTATTGATATTAGTCTGTTTGCAATTCTTGTTATATTCTCTAATGACTAATTGTTTATTTAAGTGGTGTAATTGAAACGTGATGCAATTTATCTTAATTTTGATCTCTCATACTCTCTCTCCCCTTATCTATTTGCATATGACGTGGAAAACATTCTCACGTGTCTTTCTGCATGACAAATTCAATGCAGTTTACTTGCTTATTAGTGTTATATATCCCAATGTAATTTCAAAAGTATATACATATCCGTGTATGTAGAGTATTCAGCGGAGGAAGAGTTCTGCAGAAATTCGATGAATCCATCATTAAATGATTCTGTTTTATTAACCTGCTTTGTTGCTTGTTTCAGTCATTTTATTAATACATACATTCAACGACATTATTTACAGACAACAAGATGGGATCGCAATGGGATCTCCACTGGGCCCATTACTAGCAGACTGCTTCATGGCAAGCCTCGAGAATGGCCCACTCAAATCAACCATCGACAATTTCCAGTTGTACGTTAGATATGTTGACGACATCTTTATCATCTGTGATGACGGTCACGATCTCAATCAACTACTGCAAATATTCAACAAATGCCATCCAGCCACAAATTTCACTTTGGAAACTGAAAATGAATCTAAAATCCCTTTTCTTGATGTCGAGCTTACAAGGAGAGATGACGGAACTTTAAGAAGGTCAATCTATAGGAAACCGACTTGGAACGGACAATTAACAAGTTTCTACAGCTGGGTACCAATCAGTCGGAAAAGAAACCTAATTAAATCCCTTGCCACTCGCGTCAGACGCATCTGCAGCTCCGACACCATGGAAGAAGAACTAAACTTCCTGAAAGAAATCTTCATACAAAATGGCTACCCACCAAGATTTGTAGAGAAAAACATCAAACAGAAAAACCAAAAGCAAGAGACACTATCCGTGCCGAAAAAGATACTTTATATGAACCTAGACTTCAAAGGAGACCTATTTAGTGACGTCCTCAGAAGGAGAATTTCCACCTCTTTAGGAAGAACTTTCCCTGCGGCAACACTAAGAATAGTGTTCTCCAGTCGCCCGCTGATCTGCAGAAACCCAAAGGACAAGATTCCGCACATGACCACTTCTATGTGTATATATCAGTTCACCTGTTGCTGTGGAGCCAGGTACATCGGTCGTTCAACGCGCATCCTGTCTAAAAGGGTAAAAGAACACTATCCAGCGTGGCTACAGAAAGGAAATAATGGCCATATAAGGAGTGCAATAATCGAACATCTCGTCAATACTGGTCATTCCATCTCAACGAACGCCTCCTTCAAAGTAATCTACAAAGTGAAGAACAACCTTCCAAAGACAGTACGATTCCGTCTTCTTTGCATCGCAGAAGCCCTAGCCATCCAGTTGGAGGAACCAGAACTATGCATACAAAAGAAAATTATCCAACCACTTTTACTCGCATGGTAACTACTCCTTTGATTTGACCTAACTTTTCTTTGTTTGTTTGATTTGACCTTACTTCTGTTTGTATGCTTATTTTTCTAACTTAAAACCCTTGTGTAATTCTGTATATTATTTTGTTTCCATGTACACCCTTTGAGCACAACTCATTCATCAAACTATTCATGCCATTACGTAACTCTTATTTAACAATCATTTATGACAACTCATCACTTTTGTTGCTATCCTCTTATCAACATCCAATTCATCTGAACCTACTAATTGTATTTTCGTTTGACAAATTTAATGTATACACACACACACAAAATAACCATATATATTTGCGATTGTACAGCTATGAAAATGAATTCGCCGAAAAGAGACTCTTCGCTGAACTACTTGTCTTCTGTCTATTAATACACCTTATAACTGTAATCAATTATTCATAGTATAATGAAATCTACAAATAACTCGGTATAACCTGCCTTTCTCTTCTATTCACAGGTTGTTTTCTTCTATAGACTTCTCATTAAAATGACCAATTAATTAATTCGTAACTGAAAATTAATTAACCTAACTGGTGAAAACATAATATACAAACAATCTATATTAGCAAAAATCGATATTTTCAAGGTTTCGTTTTGTTTGATTGGTTGGAGGATTCCCTAATTAGCTCATATCATTTGGATAGTCTACGAGTTGGCCTTGTAACCAGAAAGTCCTGGGTCTCGAACCCTGTTGGTGGTGGGTGCGTACTACTGAAGAGTCCCAAACTAGGCTGACGAAATAGATGTCTGGCAGTACTCCTATCTGGTTTCTCAATGGTTCTCTAATTGACGTCGGCTCGGGATGAAATCCTCCGACCAATCTAACAAACAAAATCCCTAGAAAACCAGTACTTGGTAATTAATGTGATGCTCACTAGCGACTGCCCCTATTCAGGTAGGTAGTTACCTGGGGTTCTAGCTGGGGGAAGTCGTGACCAGTAGGGTGCAGCAGGACAGTCACTCATTGAAGAAGATATTGCCAAGGTGTCACGCTATCTCATGAATTGGCAGAAGTTACAATTCATGGGCTGGCCGTTTGTAACTAGAAGGTCGTGGGTTTGAACCCTGATGGTGGTGGGTGCATACTCATGAAGAGTCCCCAACAGGGACGAAATAACTGCTCAGAACTTCCAGGTTTTACAATGGTTCTCTGACTGATGTCACCTCAGGAGGAAATCCTCCAACCAATCACAAAAAACGACATTATTATTCATTGTTTGATTGCTTTACGTTCCTAGTGGAACAAAAGGCTTTGAAGTTGTGATGGCCGTCGGTTTCTCTATTTTTGCGGCGATGAGACTGCTAACTTCACGCTCAACCTTCCCTCTTTACCTGCCTTGCTGCCGGCTTAGTGACGTTTAGGAGCGTGTCCGCTAAGGACTGAACCTCGGTGCATATGCGTGCGAAACCCGAAACACCCGACATTAATTATATGACAACTTTGATAGGCTCATTCTTACCAAAGGCACCGTTAAATGATTTGATCGCCGCTCCAGCTGCTTCTTCCAACTGTAATATATTTGTCCCTGAATCCAAAGTCTTTGGATTTACTATAATTTCCATTTGAAGAGTCTTCTCTTTGACACATCGATGCAGAGCTCTTAAATCAATCCATAGATTGTTAGTATTAAATATTTTAAAAGTACGAACACTAGCGAAATCATCGACATGATCCTCTGGTACCTAAAATTAAATTAAATTAGATTAAATACATGAAATTATTTCATTTTTATTTGTTTTGAAAATTTATGTTTATATCTCATCTAATATGAAATTATATTTATAAAATCTCAGCGACATTGAAATGATTAATTCCAACGTTTACTGCGTTCGGCAATCTGGTCCGAACTTCTTCAGGGAAATTAATTGAAATTAACCTAATAGAGGTTTATATATACAAAACGAACATCTCTTGTTTCTTGAAACTTTGTCCAGTCATAAACCATGAAACAGGCATCAACATGTATAATAAACAAAAATTCTATGAACTGTGATCAAACATTTGACCTCAGACTTTCAAAATTAGTCTACTTTTGTTAAAATATATATGTGTATATGCAGTATACAATGGTGTGTGTGTGGGTGAACAGTCATAAAACATTTGTTCTTCTCTCCATAAGAAGACGTAGATGTGATTAATTGTTGATACATATCCAATTTTATTTATTAGTCAAGATTTGCCATTCATCAGCTAACATCACACCTTCACGTCTGTTCAAACTGTTGGGATTCTCCTATATATGTAGGGATTCTGCAATCAGTCTTCATTTATACGAACTGAAACCTTCCTGTAGAACCTTAGTCCGACCTAAGTCGATTTTGTGTCTCATTTCTATCGAATGCAGTGCAATCCCTGAGTTGTTTTCCAGCTTCTTCAAGTCTGCAGAGGTCTTTGGAACCACCTTTAGACATTGTTTATGTTCTTTCACTCTTATAATATTTAACTGTATGGAAGTTTCTCCTACATATACGGATTTACAATCCCCACAATTGATCTGGTATACGCAATTCTGCTGGTTTTTTTGTTATAATTTATCCTTAACCTTCACCAGTGATGAGCGTAGAGTGTTATTATTATTTTATTATTATTTTTATCCTTTAATTCCTAGAGAAACATAGAGCTTCAGCTGCGCGTCTCCATCGCCTTCGGTTTTCTGCCAACTTTTTCACCCCGCTCCAAGTCTGCCCACATGCCATCATCTTCCCTTCACATGACCTCTTCCGAGTCACCATTGGACGACCGACTCGCCGCTTCCCTTTCAGGTTCCATTCGAGCAACGGCTTGTCTAGGGATGTCACTTGATGGTTTGTTTCCTCAGAGTATGGCCAATCCATCTCCATTTCTTCCTGTCTATCTGTTTCACAATCAATTCCTGGTTGGTTCGCTCACAGAGATCCCTGTTGCTGATCTTTTCTGGCCCGCCGTCTGATCTTGAGTATTCAGCGAAGACAACGGTTAATGAAGGTCTGAAGTTTGTTTGAGATGCTCTTCACATTATGTACTCGTCGCTAAATTATTATTATGTACTGGTCGAGAATTTAATAGTCCTGACGCAAGAAAGACGGAAATCAGAAGACCACTAGGTTTGCGATGATACTTCTATTTTCCAAACACAAGGAGAATCAAAATATCACACAAGAGTGTGAGAGCAAAAATATGGATGTCCGAACAAGAGTGTGAACACAAGTGTGTGAGCGAATATTCAAAATGAACAAATCAATAGACAGTCTTAACATGATTGGCTAATTATAATGGAATATCGATCCATAATACATAGCAAAATATATCAGACTGTCAAACAAACACACAATTTATATGGATACATATCCCAAGAACAGACTGTCAAGCAAACACACATATTATATATAATATAAGGGGAATATACATTGTTAAAGGAGGCAGGTTCATCAAAGTGAAATGGTCACAGGCTAAGAGAGCACAGAAAGAGAGACCACCATATATATATATATATATATATATATATATATATATATATATATATATATATATATATATATATATATATATGGATACATATCACTTCATGACGCGCAGTGCAAGTCTCTGATCCGTATAGAAGCACTGACTATACATTGGATTTGAAAATCCGGATCTTATTTTTGATGCTGAGTGCTGTTGACCTCCACACAGATTTGAGAGTAATGAAAGCTTGTCTTACTTTCCCGGTTCTGGCTTTGATATCCTCGTCAAATCCGTCCACGTGTAGTTGAAACGATGCTTCCCAGGTCTGTAGGTAAAGGAGGTTGTTTCTTTCAGGTTCCTCCCATTTATGCTGGCTGATTGTTGTCTGTTGTTGTTGGTGTTGCTGTAGAGTGTTAGTTGCTCGAAAATACACTCTTATGTGATGATCATTAAGGATTCGCTTTATTTCATCGAATGTTTCTTTGCGGTCAAATCTTGATCACAGTTCATATGAATCATCTAATATTATTAAGTAAGTAAGACGTCAGTGTAAAAATAATACCTGAGCTAATTCAAGAAGGCGCAAGTGTCCACGATATTTAGTTAATGTACCACCTTTAACATCAGCTCGAGTTTTATCAGTAACTTCCATTACAAACTCTGGGGAATCTCCTCCACGGTGTAGTTCTTTATTCATTAAGAAATTTAAAATATCTTGACGAAAAAAAGGTAAGTCACTGTTAAGGAAAACACTTTTAAAAAATGTATGCACACTAATTGAAGAAGAAATCTGCTAAACTTTTGATGGCCTTGAGTGAGGATTATATACAGAGGGGAATAGTAGTTGCCTAGTGAACAAAATACACGCTGAAACTTACTTACTTACTTACTCGTTTGATTCTGTTCTGAAGCTAATAATTAAATCAGTCGTCTCACTTTCAAGTTTATTATTATTGTTATTATATTCTTTAATTTCTAGAGGAACATAGAGCTTCAGCTGCGCGTCTCTATTTCCTTCTGTTTTCTGCCAACTATTTCACTCCGCTCCAAGTCTTCCCACATGCTTTAATCTCATCCTAACATGACCTCCTCCAAATCACCCTTGCATTGATGACCAACTCACCGCTTCCCTTTCGGGCTCCACTCGAGCACTAGCCTGTCTAGTGATGTCACTTGGTAGTTTCCTCAGTGTATGGCCAATCCATCTCCATTTCTTCCTGCCTCTTTGTTTCACAATCGATTCCTGGTTGGTTGGTTCGCTGATTGCCAGAGATCCCTGTTGCTGATCTTTTCTGACTGGCCATCTGATAATGAGTGGTATTGAACGAAGGCATCTGTTGATGAAGGTCTGTAGTTTGTTTGAGGTGCTCTTTATGATGCACCAGGTCTCTGATCCGTATAGTAACTAGCACTGACTTCACATTGGAGTTGAAAATCCGGATCTTATTTTCATTTTCATGCTGAGTGCTGTTCATCTCCACACAGACTTGAGAGTAATGAAGACTTGTCTCGCTTTGATATCCTCATCACTTCCGTCCGCCTGTAGTTGAAACGATGCTTCCCAGGTAGGTAGGTATGTAAAGGAGGTTGTTTCTTTCAGGTTCCTCCCATTTATGCTGGCTGATTGTTGTCTGTTGTTGTTGCTGTTGCTGTTGGCCAGGAATCTTCATCACCTCTGTTTTCTCTATGTTCACCTGAAGTGAAGTCCTATCTTTGATGCTTCTTCTGCCAACTTGTTGCTTTTCACTTGTATTTCTTCCAGTTTGTGGAAAATCAGACATATATCATCATCGGCAAAGTCCATATCCTACACGTTTTTTGTTAGGGTCCATTTTATGCCTGTTTCCTCATTGCCCGTTGTCTGTCGCATTATCCAATCTACTGCAATCAGGAAGATAATTGGCGATAGTAGACAGCCTTGCCTCACTCCCGTCCTCATGTTTAACACATCAAAAAGCCTGTTAAGTTATTCAAGGTTGAAATAATGGAGAAGATTTGTAGAGTTCAAATGAATTCATTCTATATTAAAACCTGCGCTGAAGATGTTGCCTAGAATGACAACTACTTTTGTTTTTTATTCTTTTACGAGTTGTTCACAGATTGATATCAGTTAGAGAAGCGTTTGAAACCAGCGCTGGAGTACTGGATAGCCAGATGTTTCATCCCAGTTTGGGAATCATCGGCAGTATGCACCCACCACTGAGGTTCAAAACCAGCACCTACCGGCTACAAGGCGAGCTAGCTCGTACACCATTCAGCCACCGAGACCTGATTCAGTGGCCAGCGCATGAATTCTTACTTCTACCAATTCGTGATCAACTCGTAAAAATGAAATTAACCCTTACAAACTAAACTATAGAAAATTAATCTAATGCACGCTAGTGACTTGCTACAGGATGGAGTTTTCTAGAGTTCTAGTGAGAAGTCGTGACCAGTGAGGTCCTTCCAGATGTCACGTGTGAGAATGGATGTTGGGGTGGTGCTTAATCACGAATTGATAGAAGTTAGAATTCATTGTCTGGCTACTGAATCGGGTCCCGGTGGCTGAATGGTATACGAGTTCACCTTGTAACCGTAAGGTCATGGGTTCGAACCCTGGCAGTCGGTGCGTACCTCCGATGATTCTCAAACTAGGCTGAAGAAACAGCTGTCCGGTACTCCCTGGTTTTCAATGGTTCTCTAACTGATATCAATCAGTAATCAACTCGTAAAAACAAAACTATCCCTTACAAACCAAACCTTAGAAAATTATCCAACTAGAGTCTTGAATTTTCCGTAGCAATGGTATTTATTTTTACGGGATTGATGGGATTTTTAGTCCGATACCCAACCTTCCCTCTTTACCAGTCAAATTACTGGCTTAGTGAGGTAAAGAAGTGCATCTGTGGCCGGGGATCGAACCCCAAACCATCTGCCATCGGACAACTTTAAAAGCTTCGCAATACAAATCAACCAGCTGCTCAGAGAACATAACTAATTCAAAATTATGCAAACTTATGTGTTGCTGATGACTACAGAGATAATGGTAATCCAACTAAGCTCAAATAACATTTAATTCCTCGACATAGAAAAAAAAACGGTAGCACAGCGGTTAGGACTCTCGTCGATCATGCACATGGTTCGAGGTTCGATCCCATGTCGACACACACCTGATACCTATGGTCGGCCTGCAAAATTTGCGCTGAAAATTCCATACTCTTGTACCAAAAATGCTGTGTAGTTTCAAGTTATAATCAAAAATTGAATTAAATTTTTTAACAACGTGAAAGGATACTGAAATCAACCGTTGCTCCAAGATTATCAATATTGGAGAGGAAAACCCATTCTTTGCCATCATTTATCATTTTTTCAGCTAAACCACATGCAACAAAACTACGATAGAAATCACCGTGTCCAGGTGGATACCATTCTTCAGGATGATAATTCATGTCTGTTTGTCGTCTTGTTTCACAACCTGCACCACTCTCTGGTTTATGAGCATATTTAGCCAGAGGAAGTAAAGACTCTCGATTCAACCGGGATAACTAAAATGTAAAGAAAAAAAATAAACGAAATAAAAAAGAGGGAATTATGGAAAAAATATCCAGCCTACATATGACTAATTTCTTTGTGGGAGTTATTTTTGATGATATTAGATGGTTGGAGGCAATCGGCCATAGGAATCCTTGCTAGACCTAGGTTTCGTACTAGTTGGCACTTACCAATCAGTAAGGCGGTGTATCTGCAAATTCGAAAGAACTCATGTCCCCTCTGACATTCAAACCCGTGTCACCCAGTGCCGACTGCAATCAGAGACGTTAACACTGAGCTAGCTATTCGGGCTCGCGATTGACCTCCGTAGGACTGTAGTGGATATTTTGACTGGGCACTAGTAACTAGTGTGATGAATCGGGAAGGCGAGAAACACACACATTCATCAACCTGAATCCAATCTGGAAATCTTCGTCTTTCAGCCAGCATCAACAAGAAAGTTCAATCGGATTTTCAATACAAACGTCAAGTCAGTCGGTTCTTCTATGCGGATCGGATCAGAAAATTGGCAGGCGGGTCACAAAAAATATTTCCAACAGTCTGTTGCAGACCTTTATCAACGACAACTGTCTTCGCTCTATACTGAAGATCAGATGGTCGTCCCGGAAAGAATCACCAACAAGAAACAAGAAACTATGGGAACGAACAAACAGGACAAGAACCAATCACCCAACAAATATGCAGGAGAAAGTGGATTGAGATGGATTGGACACTCACTGAGGAGACCATTGGGTGACATCACGCGCACATCAGGCCATCGCTCAGGTGGAACCAGGTCGAAAGGGAAGCGGCGAGTGGGACGTCAGTGCAAGGCTGACATGGAGGAGATCGTGTGAAGAGGAGTTGAAAGAGTATGGACTAACATAAATGCAGGTGAAAAGTACAGCAGAAGACAGAAGCAAATGGAGACGTGCAGTTGAAACCCTATGTTCCACTAGGAACCCAAGGGAGCAATAATAATAATAATCAGATATTAGAACTTACGAGCTTTGTAAAAATGTTAATATTCGAACATTGACTTGTTGATATTTGCGTAATACTTTTTCAGTTTCAGCATGAGTATTGAAAGAGTTCATTAAAACTAAAGGGATACTTGTACCGTATTCATTATTTAATCTCTAAAATAAATTTACAAAAATATGAAATTATAACTCCAGCATTTTAGGAATATAATATTATAGTATTGATTTCATCTCTACTGAATTACTGAATCAGTGTCTGTAAGTATAGTATGTGCTTTGCTCCGTCTAAGTGCAAAATACTGTTACAAGATTGGCAGGAGCCTGTACCTGCACTCACTCTTGCAGGTGAACCGCTTGAAGTTGTTGATAAGTTTGTGTATCTGGGTAGTTGTGTGAGTGCTGGCGGAGGGGTGACAGATGAGATTTCCAACCGTATAATGAAGGCTAGGGTGGCATACACCAACTTCAGCCACCTCTGGCACCGTCGCGACGTCAGCCTGGCTGTCAAAGGTCAGGTATACAATGCTTCGATGCGGGCTGCCTTCCTCTACGCCTGTGAAACCTGGCTCTCCGAGTAGGCTGAGGATGTTTGGCGATTCTGTGTGTTCGATCATCGCTGTCTCCGCAGGATTGATTGCGTTCGATGGCATCATCGCGTGAGTAATTCTGAGGTTTGGCGGCGTGTATTTGAACACAGTGGAGATCACCATTCATTGAGTGTCGTCATGTGGAAACACCGGCTCGGTGGCTTGGATATGTCCTGTGAATGTCATCCCAGAGGCTTCTGTACAGGTCTCTATTCGCTAGCCAACCCTGGGATGGGATGGAAAAGGTGGAGGGGTGGTCAGTCCATGACATGGTGTCGTGGAATGAAGGATGTTTGTGCTAGATTAGCATCGGTTGGTGCGTCACGACTCCCTGGTTGGAGTCCGAGAGATAGCTCGAATCGATGACTTGATACGTTATGGGATATGGCCAAGAATCGCAGCCATCAATGGCGAATGTGTTGCAATTTCCTTCTTCTTCCCTTCCTAGTGATAGTTGACGAACACTGTTTGAACTTGTTAAGCATGAATGTCTTCCTTCCAGATGAAGTTCTTTATCCGTTCTCTACTTATGTATTTTTTTTCTTTTCCTTTTTTTCTTTTGATCTATGTTGTTTTGTTATTACTGTGTGGCGCATCCTTCTTGGCGCCATATTGTACCAAGTTTTTATGCGTTTAAATAAATAATAAACAAACTGAATTACTTTGAGTTCACCACATATAGGGAATAAAATCTCAAACAGATATATATGTATATATATGTAAAACTTGGGCACTGTGGTAGTAAGTAATTCGATATTAGTTTGTTTATTAGATGTATCACACAATGAAACAGCATTACGATTTAATGGATGACACAGTTTCGAACACATTTCATTATTGTTCATAATCATTTCATCAATTATAATCACACGACTTCGGAACCTAGTCTTCTTTGTTCTCTCCTATTTGTCGTCGTTGGGGTAGTAGAATTTCTTAAAAGTTCGCGTGGACAGGTGTTGAATCATTCCTATTACACGTATTTGCAGTTGATGCGATAAACAGATATAGTCATGGATACATGGGAAAGTTAGCGATTGAAACGTTCCGCCCCAACCCAACGCAAAAGTATAGTGGAGGTATGTAGATGACATATTCACTGTACTTAGAACACAGGATATAGATAGATTTTTCTAACACATTAACTCAAAGGTAGAGGCAATTCAAATCACTTATGAATTAAAAATTCAGGAAGGGGAGCTTCCAATGTTAGATTGTAGCGTACAGAGGAAAGAAGATGGGAAGTTAAACACACTAGTGTTTACAGGGAACCAACACATTCAAACAGATATTTGGACTTCCGATCATTCCACCCATTCTATGTCAGTGAAAATAGGATTGGTGGAATGTTTGAGTGATAGAGCACAAAAACTAAAAAGTACCAAGGAAAACAATGGCGACATGCACGTCAAATATGCGCAAGAATATATAAACAATAAGGAATCTAAATCATCAGTAGTAATTCCATACATGAAAGGAACCTCGGAAACCTTAAATAGAATTCTTAACAATACAGGCAGAAATAAAAGTGGCTGGCATTCAAAAAACCCACAAACTGAATTAGAAACAAGCTTTGTCGGTTAAAGATCAATCCTGTGGAACCTTTAAAACAAAACAATTTAAATAAAGTATAGTTATATTTCAATAGTTTACACACAATGATAAGTTTTGTTATCGGTAATATTTCGAGCAAAATTACCAATAACAAAACTTATCACTGTGTGTAAACTATTGAAATATAATTATACTTTATTTCATCTAATCCACAATGCTCGAACATTTTACTTATATCAACAAAAAAATTTAGTTTGTCTATAACCCTACCTGCGTCGGTGGCATAGCGGTTAGGACGCTCGCCGACCATGCACATGGTCCGGGGATCGATTCCCGGCCGGCGCACTCCTTTACCTCGCTAAGCCAGAAATAATCCTGGTAAAGAGGAAAGGTTGGACATGAGGCTAGCAACCTCATCCTGTAAAAATTAAACACTGCTACAGAAACTTCAAGCCACTAGCTTGAAGCCCTATGTTCCACAGGGAACGTGAAGGAAAAATTATTTATTTTATAACCCTACCTGCAGTGATTGTCAGGTCACAGTAGTAGAACAGGGGCAGTTAGAGTAGCCGAGTATAGAAACCTAGCGAAATCTAGATTAGTTGACCCGAATAAGATAAGAAGTCTAGTGAATAGTTCAGCTATACCACTCACTAGATGCAATTATACACAACCATACAATAGGATGGATGGGATAGGATGACATTTCAAAATCTAATGTCAAAGGGTGGAGAGAGAGATTGATAACAGAAGCCTTGTTTATCGAATCAACTGAGAAAGAATACGTGTAATAGGAATGATTCAACACCTGTCCACTCAGACATCTGGAAATTCTACTACCCCAACGATGACAAACAGGAGAGAACAAAAGAAACTATAAAACTCATGTTTCGAAGTCGTGTGATTATAACCGATGGAATGATTACGAACAATAATGAATTGTGTTCGAAACTGTGTCATCCAGTAAACAGTAATACTGTTTCAGTGACTGTGTGATACATCTAATAAACAAACTAATATCAAACAGATTAATTGAAGACTCATTTTAAAAAATATTGTTGAGAAGTATTTTTCAATATTGACCAATTATTTAAACCTTTAAAATCAACTGGAAATTTATTCAGTTAACTCTCAGTAAAGAAGGCAGGAAAGCTGGGAGAAACTTTCTGTGAAACAATTTAACCTGCCTACATTCATGCTCATTTCTCCCAGCATCCTACACATCCTACACTAGAATGGAAGCCGACATCGATCACCTAATTGTAACTGAGATTATAAAGGTTGTTTCTCATGTGAAATAACTCAGAGCAGAACAATCCGATGTAGTTGTAGTGACTTCAGAGTTGCTGAAGGACACTGGTGATCAACTGTTGCCTAGGTTAACTGAGGTATTAGGCAATATCCGGTAATCAGAGGTAGTTCTGTTATGCTGGTGTACATCATTTATTTATCTCAGTTTAAAAAGAAGGGAGACAAAGCCTCCTGTGATAATCATAGGTGAATATGCTTGCCTAATATAGTGTCTGAAGTTCATGGTCCAATAATCATGCACAAACTAAGTGTTGCTCGGGAAAAACAAACTTCCGGGGACCAAACAGGTTTGAAGCCATAGCTGGGCGGGTGGGGGCAGGGGTATTTATCAAATCTTCATCCTTGACAGGCTCTGGAATATAGACGACAACATACTACCGTCCAACACTTGGTATATTTCTTGACCTTAAGGTGTCATTCACTTTCATCGATCGGGAGTCGTTGTGGCAATGCACTAATCAACACACTCTGCTGAAACTCATGCATCCGTATATAGCTTACAAAGGGAATTATCATCTGAAGTGATGCCAACCAGCGATGTCCATCAGAGATGCCTACTGCCCGCATTTTTATTTAATTTTATCATAAATGTGCTAGTGAAATTAAACCTAACTGACTTTTGCAACTTAGGAACTGGCCTGTTAACAGAGAATACTCTTGGAGACTTGCAGCATATGGATGATATTGTTCTCCTAGATGAAGAAACTGAAGAAATTCAGAGTATTCTAGACACTCTGAGAAGAAACCTTCAAATACTTGCCATGTCATTCTCTGGCGTAGGATTAGGTTGGAAAATAGCTAAGAGTGGTTAAATTAAAACCTAGTAGCATCAGTCCACTAACTCCTTGACAGATGATCACAGCAAACCATATAGGGTGAAAAGATCTTCGACAGCGTCGACCGAGAGGCGATTTGGCTACCAAGGGGTGCCGCCGAAAACTATACATCTCTTCCCACAGTTGTAGGACAACGCTGCATGCTAAGTAATCTACAACAGGAAACTTACAGAATCCTTCGAAGTGAAGACGGGAGTAAGACAAGGCTGCCTACTATCGCCAATGATTTTCGTGATTGCAGTAGATTGCATAATGCGACAGACATCAACAGGCAACGAGGAAACAGGCATAAAATGGACCCTAACGAAAAACTTGGAGGATCTGGACTTCGCTGATAACATATATTTTTTTTTATTTTTGATTTACAGCTTGATTCCATACTGTATTTTTGGTACAAGTATGGAATTTTCAGCATGAATATCGGTAGCCCAAATTTTGCAGGCCGATCATAGATATCAGGTGTGCGCCGGCGTGGGCTCGAACCCCTGACCATATGCATGGTCGGCGAGAATCCTAACCACTGTGCCACCGACGCACAAATGTCTGATTTCACACAAACTGGAAGATATACAAGTGAAAAGCAACAAGTTGGCAGAAGAAGCATCAAAGATAGCGCTTCACTTCAGGTGAACATAGAGAAAACAGAGGTGATGAAGATTCCTGGCCAACAGCAACAGCAACAACAACAGACAACAATCAGCCTGCATAAATGGGAGGAACCTGAAAGAAACAACCTCCTTTACATACCTACCTACCTGGGAAGCATCGTTTCAACTACAGGCGGACGGAAGTGATGAGGATATCAAAGCGAGACAAGTCTTCATTACTCTCAAGTCTGTGTGGAGATGACAGCACTCAGCATGAAAATGAAAATGAGATCCGGATTTTCAACTCGAATGTGAAGTAATTGTTACCTACTATACGGATCAGAGACCTGGTGCGTCATAAAGAGCACCTCAAACAAACTACAGACCTTCATCAACAGCTGTCTTCGTTCAATACCACTCAAGATCAGATGGGCGAACCAATCAGGAACCAATTGTGCGACACATAAGCAGAAAGAAATGGAGGTGGATTGGCCGTACGCTGAGGAAACCATCAAGTGACATCAATCAACAAGCCATCACTCGAATGGAACCCAAAGGGAAGCGGCGAGTTGGTCGTCAGTGCGAGGGTGACTTGAAGGAGGTGATGTGAAGAGAAGATGAAAGCATGTGGGCAGACTTGGAGCCAGGTGAAATCTCTAGCAGAGAACCGAACGCAGTGGCGGCACGCAGATGAAGCCCTATGCTCCTCTAGGAATTAAAGGAAATAATAATAATAATATAGGGTGATGCAGATTGAATGGTTGACATCTGCAGGATGGCTGAAGACTGTTGGTGGCATGGCTCAAAATCGATCTGAGTGCTACAGATGCATTCATCCTTTGTAACCTGCTATACCTATTAAAACTTTGTTATTATTCTATGTTACTACTTCATCACCACCTACCTAAAATTTCTGTTTATTATTATCGTCCTAAATCTCTTTTTTCCTCTCTCACTTTTGTTTAGTTTCTTGTGCTACATAGAGAGTGTGGCAACGAGAACTGCTACACTTCTATACGAAGTTCGATGTAGAAACTCAGTCAGTGAGTCACTTTGTAAATAATTCTGCAAGATTCACTGAATATATATTCACTTTTTTAGTGAACCATTTAAATATGGGAAAATATTTTAAGTTATCCTTCTATAGAATATCAGTTAACCAGATGAATGACTAAATATCGAATAAAATAAAATGCCCTGAGAAAGAAATACCTATCAAATACATAACTTCCATATTATAAATAAATATTTTAATGCTAGCGAACAACATGTCTTATTCTAGAGAATAAGACGATCAATGCTGATTCCTCGACTGAAAGACGTAGTACCTAGACTAGCCACTTCCAATTGTATCTACCACTTCAACTGCACTTGTGGTGGAGCGAGTTATACGGGCCGTTGCTCAAGGAACTTGATTTTTCGTGCTCACTCGAGAACATCTCACAGTATGGCTAAGTAAAGGTGTAGTGAAAGCCATCAACAATTCGATATTAGACCATCTAGTACAAATTGGCCGGCCACAAAGCCAGCCAATGTTGAAGAATCTTTCTCTATCATCATCTACCGGGTGTCAAATAGATTGACAAAACATCGAAGTACCACATGTCTAAAACAGTAGAGGCTATCACAATTCGCGTAAAACAACCAGTGCTTTGTGTGCAAAAGAAGCAAGTTCAGCCAGCCACTACTACTGCCCTGGACGGCCTTCTGTAGAGACTATGAATTCATGAATTTGTATTATTGTTATCTTTCCTAATTTTTCTGACATTCAGTTTATTGTAATGTTGATGCTATTGATATTATTATTGTTGATTTAATGTTATTTAAACAACATTAATGTATTCTCCGTTCAGTATCCATTCTTTTGAAAGAACAAAAGGTTGATATGTCTGTATAAAGTTTAGACTCTGCAATGTTATATAACCCCCTATTTATTCATTTATTAGATATTGTTAAACACTAAAGCAGTATTATCTATTGAATGGCACTTTGAATACAAATTATTGGTCACGGTGATTTAAAATGCAACTCTATAACATTGAAGTACGTCGGTAGCGCAGAGGTAGGGAGCGCGCCAGCTCACCACTCAGGTATTCCACGGTTCAAGCCCCGGCCATCGATGCACTCCCAAACCTTGCTTAGCTGGTAATAAGCGAGTCAAAGACGGAAGGTTTGGCATGAGGCTAGCAATCCCACCCCGTAAAATAAAAACACTACTGTTACAAAAGCTTCAAAGTTCTCTGGCTTAAAGCCCCCTCACTATGTTCCCCTGGGAACGCATTGGAATAAAATAGTAGAGAAAAAATAGCATTGAAACGCTTGCACCTAGTCAGTTAACAGACGTAAGACATTTATTCATACTTTTTAATGTAAATAAAACAGATGAAAACTCAGGATCACTAATCAAATACTTAGTGAAATATAATCTGGATATTCATAGAACAGAAATGTATTTATAAAACACAAAATAACTGAGCAAAAAATATCCTTTTCGATAATTTCCTTCTCTTCTGGCTCTTTAATTATATACGTATATGTTTATATACCTAGAATATTCTAAAATAGTTGTCAGTAATAATATCATTGTTACATAGGCCGTACAATTAGGCGTGTTCCTCATCGAATTTCTGAACATCACCCTGCATAGTGGTTAAGTGAAGGACAAAAATTCTACTCATAGCGCTATTCTATCTCATCTTGTGGATATAGAGAACACAAGATGGATGTTAACAAGGCGGATTTCTGAGTCATTTACCGCATACCAACAAATTTCAATTTCGCCTTAAGAGTTCGACTACTAAATATTGCTGAACCTGACTGCTGGGATCCATATTAACAAGCCTAATTTGTGCATCCTAAAAAAGTTAGTTCAGATATTATCATTACCACTTGACCATCTAGATTTGAATGATCCTGAATTTTTGTGGTATTTTCCTAATTTTAGTTGATATTCTATTTGCTATTATATCTTTATTATCATTATAATTTAAGCATCTTCAATGAACGATAATTCCATCGTGATCTTACTTTACAAATCGATATCATTTAAAAGACACTAATATTGTTATTAACTACTATTCTAGAATATTCTAGGTATATAACATAGATGTGTAATTGTAGAGCCAGAAGAGGAGGAAGTTATCGAGAAGGATATTCTTTGCACAATTATTTTGTGTTTTATAGAAATGTATTTGCAGACTACAATTCTCTGAATAATTGTCTGTAAAATCTAACTGGTTCCTGGTGTTAAACTTTTTTTCTTCCCTTCATGTTTCCAGTGGAACATTGGGGCTTCAAGCAACAGGCTTCAAGTTTCTGTTGCAGTGTTTGTTTTTACAGGATTGGGTTGCTAGCCTCATGCTCAACCCTTCTTTTTTACCAGATTTATTATTTGCTTAGCCAGGTAAACAAGTGCGTTGGCCGGGGATTGAACCTCGGACCATACACTTGGTCAGCGAGCGTCCTAACCACTGTGCCACCGACGCACGATTTAACTTTAAATAATCTAAGTAATCTTTATCATTAGATAACTATCAGTTATATACACTCAAAGAAAAAACAACATATCGCTTCAGCCAATCCTACAAAACAGCTGCGATATTAACACCACTCGCTTCCGAACTTTAATATGTACATATATATATATATATATATATATAAACATAAGTATATCTTGAAATATTTGCCAATATAAAATATATCTTTATCTTACTTCGATTTGTTGTACAGTTAAATCCAAAAATGTAAGATCATTTCGAACGGATATGAGCGATTTTGGTCCAGTACAACCCATTGTTGTGCCAAGACCACCGTTCAATTTCACCACAACTAATTTATTCAATTGTTGACGAATCACTTCTCTGTCACTTGGCATAGGAAGAGCATCGTACATTTTCATCTATAGGTGAAAGTAAATTTTAAAAATTATTATAAGAAAAATTAAAAAGATGACGAGAAGATAAAAGTGTGTGGCATTGCAGTATGAAATAAAGTGAATTAGGCAACATGTTTAGAATACTGTACACGAGAAACATTCAATTGCATAGAGGATTTCATCATGAGCTGACATTGGTTAGAGAGCCATTGGAAAACCTGCAGGGAGTACTGGACAACTGTTTTGTCAGCCTAGCTTTGGACTCTTCATCAGTACGCACCCACCCGGGTTCAAACCCAGGACCTCCTGGTGGCTCGTAGACCATTGAGCCACTGGGACCCGATCCAACGACCCTTGGTCCCGGGTTCGAACCCTAGCTGATGCTTACTGATGAAGGGTCCCAAACTAGGACGAAACAGCTGTCCAGTACTCTCAGGTTTTCCAATGGTTCTCTAACCAATATCAGCTCATGGTGAAATCCTCCACAAAATCCCTACAAATCTCATACTTGAAAATATTCAATCGATAAAAATCGCTTTGTATGAAGTTCCGCCTATGAGATACAATTCTATCACTTTAATTAGTCAAGAAACCCTATAGATCATTGAATATAAAAGTATCAATTTAAAAAGTGAATCTGTGTATAAATATGGAATTCACTTACTAAGAATTCTAAACGTAGGGTTTTCGATGTGAAAATTTATTCAAGCTTACAAACAACTAAATTTCTAATATTATGTCACTGTTACTTGAATTAGTTTAATTCTCTACGCTTTCTGGTAGCAAATTCTTAGGTCTACAGTATGTCTAAATCGAAAATCCTTGTGTGATCAGTACACATCCCGTCTTTTAGTAAACAAATTGTCCTATATTATGTATCCTAAGTGATGCTTCTTAGGGTTTCGAAATGTCAAGAAGTCACATCAATGTGTTATTACTTGAAAGGTTTATTTAAAAGTTGGTGAATGAGATAGTTGAAAGTGTAAAGCTACAAATAGTCATCTGTCTGTGATGTAAAAATCTTTTTTTAACCTGTCTGGCAGCGCTAGTAACGTTTTACAAATATGAAGTGATGAACACATCTCATTCAGCTGTCCTTCACTCTGAAAACTAAGACTTAAGTGAACCATGATATGAAACTTGATTTAGACGTTCTATTTAAAGAACCACACATACTAGGATTAGATAGTCAAAAATAGAAATAATAAGTGATGATTTAATTCGAAAGTCATATGTATAGTTTGCAATATTCTGTATGACAAATGTACTTATGAAACAGAAACACGCAATCTAAAAGCGTGAAGCTGAAAAGGTTGACGAATATTCAAAGCCATGACTTTTAATTTCAGATTGATATGTGACGAGTTATCATTGAAAAAAATAAAATTTTGTGATCAAACGTTACTTACACTTTGCGGCGGCACAGGTTGAATTTCTTGCCAATCAAATGTACCCGACGTGTCATGCAAATATCTTTTAAATAGCTCTTTAAAAGATTCCATTTCTGAGCGGAAATTTTCTTTCTCTACCGGATGAGTATCCGGTATACTACCCACAAGGAGTTCCAGATCAGCCGCCAGTGCTTTTCAGCATCTTTAAGGGTAAGTTCTTTGAAGAGGCTCACAGTCTGAAACACAGAAATAAGTGAAAGTTAACTGCCTAAACCGCCTAAATTCGAATGGGATATTTTAGAATTACAAGCGGATAGATTCAGCTGAAGGTAAGCAGCACAGAACACACTTAGGCGGTACGAAAGATTCCTGCAAACACTCTAGCGTTATCATAACAAGAATTATTGAAAGAGCTTAGAGGTGACATCTGCGTCCGCCATTTATTGACAGCGACCACACAGCTATCTTCTTCAACATGCGCATACATACAGACAGTGGTTGGGTCGCCTTAATTTAGTCTCTTTCTATTTGTCATTTAAAATGAAGATTTAAGCATTGAAAACTTAGGCAAAGAACTGCATCAGTAAAGACCTAACTGCTGCTTTGCAGTGTCCAGAACTTTTCGCCCGACTTCAAGCAAGTATTCTCTAAATTTGATCTAGTGTTGAAGGATTTCCACAAACGACAACGTACTGTTTTTCAACCTTATAATACGCGGATAAAAGCTAAAAAGCTTTTGAAATCGACTACGCGCAAACAAATTTCTCAAAATTTTAGTTTTAAGCCTCTAGAGTACTCTAATTAGTACGGAACAAATAAGGACCACATCAAACACCAGAAGCAAATAGACGCGGAAATTTCAAAGACTAAGACTGATTTCTGGTACGATGTGTAGTCTTTCATATAACTAAAGTTAGTACATTAGAATAAATTCAATGTGACACTTTGAAGCATGAATACTTTTCATTACATAAAATAAGAATTCTAAAATTTACTACTGTGTAAGTATTGTAAGGGATCAGGAAATTCATGCGGAAGGTAAATGCAGTAGTAATTCACCTTTCTTTATCCCCTACTTAGTCCTACTTCTGAAGGAAATAAAAAATAGAACCTTATCATGAACAGATACGGTACAAAGCCACGAGGTAGTGGTATCTACAATATACCAAGAAGTTGTATTCGCGTAATTTTTCAATATCACACTCCACTAAATAATTCCGTTAAGAAGCGCGGGTGTAATATCTCCCTTCAATTATTCCCAGCAGTCTGATAACCAGGCTAGGATCGATTACACTTAGGATCCATCCAGTTATTTCCCCAAGATATATCTATCAGGATATGTGGGTGGCCCCATATTAGACACTAACTATATTTCTGAGTGAGACTAACAAGAAGACGTCCACAAAGTGCTCTAAGCAGTGTAAATAAATGGCATTCTTTTAGTGGATAATCAGTATCACTCGATATGACCAAGTGGCTTGAAGACTTAGGAACTAAACTGTTTTTCCAAACAGGATTTGCCAGATAATTTAAAATTAATCTTTCATTCTGGTGGAATTGGTGCTGGGATAACCAAGGGTTAGCTTACAAATAAAAGTAGGAACACTGATGTATATTACCAAGTGGCTGCCTACTGACAGAATGAGTATAGTCAATAAGTGATCGATGGGTAGATTAGAACTTCTGAATTAATGCACAGAAACATCAGTACTCATTGGTCTGTGACAGAATATGTTTCATGTATTTGCCCCCATCAAAACCAATTCGAATGACAGACGAAATAATTCAGAGAGTAGTTTCGTTTGTCATTCTCTAATTCTGAACTTTCATGATGTTTCTTTGGGGTCAGAATAGATATAATAATACAGAAGTTCTACTTTATTGTAATTGTCCTTGCAAATCCACAACCTATACTATCTGAAGAAAATGGAATGAACTTGACACCTCAGTAATACTATAGTATTATTGAATAACTATAACTATTACTGAATAACCATCCCAAACTTTCTACAGTGTGATGCTAACCGTAATAATTCCTTTATCTTTATTAGTCTTCTAGTCATTAATTAACTGAGTCCAAATGGAAAAACCAAGGGAAAAGACTTAAAAGCTTACATCCGATGACATCTCAGTAGATTTTTGACGCGAAGTCATGAATGAAAGTTAATTACAATTGTGCATATAAACAAAGCTAGCACAAGTCATTCAGGTTGTTCAAAAAGTGCTTTTTTGTATATTTTATAGTTGTTTCAGTGTTCCTGTAAACTTTATAAGGCCTCTTAAGACTAGAATTGCAGATTTGCTTCCCCACAGAATTCGAGTTTCATGTGAAATTTGGAGACTTATAATTTCCAACTCCTTTGAGTTTTTGAGCTTATAACTAAGACATTCATAGTTTAAGTGACATCTCTTGTAATGCTGTGAAGAAAAGATACCAGTTCTTCTGAGCATCCGTCGGAAAATAAACGGTCGATGAGCATGGTTTCCATTCACTGAGTAGTTGTCTTAAACATTATTCAACGTGTGATGTGTGGCTACACAATGACACGTCACTATTTCAAGTCATAGTTCATTACTACCCCTCAGCTAGGCTTTGAGACTTGGTGTCTGTTATTCGAATGACTGCGATAATGAAGTTACTAGTACTGCTCATCTCTTTAGTCAACTCGGAACTAAGTGAAGATATTTCTTTTTCAACGCTGAACCGTTCTTTCCTACTTAGTTTTTAATCCAACAGTTCTCATCATCACTTACTAGTACTGCCAGTCACCGACTATTTCTTCTCTTTTCGTCGCTGCGTACGTAATCATTTCTCATGCGACCTGATTTGAGTAGAACTTGTAGTACCCCTATACCAACTGTAAACATGCTTTTTAATCTAATTTGTATACTTGTATTATATGTGTATACAGACCGATTTTATATGTACTTCGCAAACATTTGTCAATTTACTGTTGAATATTACCTTGACACAATTTCGAATTTCACTACTGCTATAATACGCATTCGTAATCTTCGCAAGTGCCTTTTGATTTACGTTGTGGGCGTCGAGTAGCCATAACGTCTGCGCACATTAATAAGAACGAAGAAATACTAGAATATATGTGTACGGCAGTTTAGTCAGACAACGCACGCAACAAATTGGTGAGCCCGACGTGATTTTGGTGAGCCCCACGGAACAAATTGGCGAGCCCGACGACAAATTTCGACAGCGACGACAAACTGTCCATCGCGACGACAACTTTTTCACCCCCGACGATAACTTGTTGACTCCAACGACATTTTGTTCACCACGACGCATCATTACACTTGCTGGATTATTTAACCCTAACTTTATCGGATCTATACATACCCATATAATAGACATTTCGAACTCATTCTTGTGCTTTCTCATCTCACAACTTGCAGTAATCTGTGGTAAGCATCTGCATTGCATGTTTTTCTGTTTTCCACATTCTTAGTGTGCATAATTTTTGCCATTTTGTTACTCTCAAACCATTTTCCTACGAATTATAACATGTCTTCCAATACCTCTGATAACTTAGAGCTGGGATCTGTTAGTACCATCTCTCTTACCGTACCAGTTTTTAAGCCCAGAGACCCCCATCTTTGGTTTGCACGAGTGAAACATTATTTCACTGCCAATAAGCTGACACCACAGATGGCTAAATTCAGAATTTTGAGTACAGTACTACCAGACGGAATCGCCGAACAGGTCCGACAACACATAGTTCAACCCAGCACAGACGCTCCTTACGACAAGTTGAAGGAAGAGGTACTTCGATGCACTTCGCTTTCTGATAGGCAAACGCTTGATCGTTTGTTAAGCAATGTAGAGCTAGGTGATAAAACCCCATCACAACTCACGAGGCATATGCAAAGCCTAGTAGCAGGAAGAGAAATCGATAAACGTCTCTTTTACCAAATTTGGTTGCGACGACTTCCTGCAAACATTCAGCAAGTTCTTGCATTCGGAGACGACGACATTGACATAGAAAAGCTCGCCAAAATTGCGGATCGCATGTACGAGAGGTCAACACCTCAATCTGTTGCTTCCACTAACAGAATACCAGACACTCACAACAGGATACAGACTCTAGAACACAAAGTTGACACCTTACAGAATCAGCTAGCAGCACTGACCACACACACACGACCAAGCCGTTCTAGAAGCTCGTCTCGTCGACGTCTTTCTCGGTCACCCAGCACGTCACGACATCACGATACTATTTGCTGGTACCACCGTAGTTACGGAAGCAATGCACGACGATGTCGTTCACCATGCAACTTTCTGGCCAAACCAAAAGATATATCGTCATATATGAAAACTTCTACCGTTGGCAATCTACAATCTAGCAGACGTTTGTTTTATGTAACAGATTGAAATACCGGTACTACATTCTTAGTCGACACAGGAGCAGAGGTTAGTATTCGTTCTCCGACTACGCAGGAAAGTCAGCATCCTGACCCTGCAGTTACGCTCCAATCCGTCAATAAGTCTAATAATAATAATAATAGTATATTCTCATTTTGTACATGAGAGACGCCAGTTTACAGGCATCATCAATATGATAAATTACATATACGATTAGCAATCATAATTAATAATAATGTTTTAATAAAATACACATTTTTTCCTACTTGTGTAGGACACACCAAATATACAGGCATGGATAAGCATTATATAAATTTCATAAATTTGGTTTATGGTTAAGTTACATGATTGCTGGCGTTTTTGTCTTAGGTCTGTGGGAACAATATGATAACCAGTCATTCAATGGAGCACGTCATGAAATATAGGAATATTAACTTCGCATTAACAAAAAAACCCAAGTAAGTTTTGGATGGATTAAAAATACTTTGGAAAAAATAAAGCTTGAAGTAATTCCACAATATAACTTAGGTGTGTACAACTCCGAATCTCATTTTCGATTTGAGATATCCAAATTGGGTAATAAGAAAGCTGTTTTTACAGATACGATCAGTTATGTTATAAGTTAAAATCGTGACGTTGTATTACAAATTGATACTTTTCCATTGGTATAAGAGTATATTCCACAAATGTGATCCAGGTTGCGTCGTGGAGAAAGTTAATTCGTTATTAACTAGGC